ACAGAACCTCTTAATGTTCATGAGGCTATGTCTTGTGATCACTGGAGAGTTGCAATGGACACAGAGTTTAATGCCTTACAAGAGAGCCACACTTGGTCTCTCATTCCCAAACCCTATGATAGACCTATTGTTGGATGCAAGTGGGTTTACAAAGTCAAACGTAATCCTAATGGTTCTATGTCTCGATACAAAGCTAGGTTGGTGGCGAAAGGATATTCTCAAACTGCAGGCTTTGATTTCTCAGAAACTTTTAGTCCAGTTGTGAAGCCGGTTACTATTCGGGTGGTATTGACAATTGCCTTGACTAGGGGTTGGTCTTTAAAGCAATTAGATGTCAACAATGCATTTCTTAATGGGGTTTTATAAGAAACAGTCTATATGGAGCAGCCTCTTGGATATGAGCAGCATTCTCCCCAAGGTTCACTTGTTTGCAAATTAAACAAGGCCTTATATGGCCTTAAACAAGCTCCACGTGCTTGGTTTGATAAGCTAAGAATTTCACTTGAGCAGCTTGGTTTTTCCTCTTCTAGAGCAGACAACTCTTTGTTCTTCAAGTTCTCCACTACTTCCACCATCTTTATCCTTGTGTATGTGGATGATATTTTAATCACAGGGAGTGATAATTCTGAGCTTGAGAAGCTTATTCATCTACTCAATCACAGGTTTTCTCTTAAGGATCTTGGCAGGTTGTCCTTCTTCTTAGGTATTGAAGTTTCCTATACTACTCAAGGTGGTCTCCTTCTTCATCAACACAAATACGTTAAAGACTTGCTTTAGAGGGTTAACATGACAGATGCTAAACCACTGCCCACTCCTATGATTGGTGGCCTCAAAATCTCAACTCGAGAAGGAGATCCATTGGAAAATCCCACATTGTATAGAAGTGTTGTTGGGGCACTCCAATACTTGACTGTTACTCGGCCTGATATTGCCTATAGTGTGAATACAATGTGCCAGTTCATGCAACATCCTTTAACAACTCATTGGCGAGCAGTGAAACGGATCTTGCGATACCTACAAGGAACAGCTCAGTTTGGTCTTCATTTGCCACGATCCTCTAATCTTTTGTTACATGCTTATTGTGATGCTGATTGGGCTACTGATCCTGATGATCGTAAGTCCACCACTAGTTACTGCTTGTTCCTTGGAGCTTGTCCCATTTCATGGAGTTCAAAGAAGCAGCCAACCATTTCCCGATCAAGTACAGAAGCAGAGTATAGAAGCCTGGCAACCACCACTTCTGAGCTTGTATGGGTTCAATCCTTGTTGCGCGAATTGGGGATTCTTCATACTAGACCTCCTATTGTCTGGTGTGACAATCTCAGTACAGTGTCACTCAGTGCAAATCCCATATTGCACTCGAAGAAGAAACACATAGAACTTGACTTGTATTTTGTCCGAGAGAAGGTATTGGCTAAGACACTTGCAGTACAGCACATACCTGCTGTAGAACAGAGTGCAGACATTCTTATTAAGCCACTCTCTTCTGGTTTCTTCTATAAACTTAGATCCAAGCTCAGCGTTGTCTCCTCAACCATGCTGTGCTTGCAGGGGGATGTTAGGCAGTGCTAATTCTTCATTAGCACTAATTATGTTTAACACGGTTAGGTGGTCATGTGATTCTGTTACAGATATTTTCCTCCCCTCCATTTCTGTAGTTTGTTATCGCGAGAGGGTAGCAGTGGAAAAGAAGTTTCCCAATATGTACATTATATTGCTCAACTGGTTTGATTGCCTTTATTTGTCTTCTTTTCATTTGCGCCGCCAGTTATGTTGAAAATCATCTATTGAATGGGTAGAATAAGTCGCATGGATGCCAGTTCAATTAATCCGTCACAAAATTTTAATAATATTGTTTTGAAATTTTTTTGCCTATTAATTATTTTAAGGATAAGTTTCTCTTTAGATTTTAATCTAACATTAGTCACTGTAATTTTCAAATTAATATTGCCAAAAATAAAACCTCAAGGTACAAACAATCCAAATTTCATTGTCCAATATGTATCGAAAACAAACTATTTCTAGCTTCATGCATCCTTTTTCTTTTGTGTCCTCTTCAAAGCCGTACGTTTTGGCTTGATTTTGATTTTGTATTGCATGTGATGATTATCATGGCCAATCAGTAGGAAAATTGGCCAATGCTTCTATGCCAAGGAGATAATCTAAATCATAGTATAAAATAATCAAAGTTTATCAGGAAACATTTATATTCATGTCAACATGATTTGTGAAACTGACAACTTTAAAGTTTAAAACTACACTGGAAACCCAAAATTCACTAAGGCATGTCCTCATCAAGAAGACAACATGTAATGACCAACATATACATATATAAGAGATTAGCATTTTGATTCACGTTGACTGTTGAGAATCATGTAGTAGATATTCCTCCCATAACCCTTCTCCCATTTTTCCACATCTCCACAGAGCTTCGTCACAAGCTTTTCATAGTATGGACTCTTTGCTGTCTGATTAAAGATGGAAAATAATCAAGAGTCAAAAATCAATAGAGCATTTGTTAATCTAATTGAATCGTACAGTATTTATGTATGTACATATGTACCTGGGCCTGTTCAAGAGCTCTCTGGATGACATAATTTCCATACTTGTTACGAGCAACCTCCCACAACTTGTCATAGGCATTAAAGTCAGACAGCACGCGATCCAGTCCGAACGATGTTTTTAAGCATTTCTCGACTACGTGGCTTGCAGATTTCTGCATAGAGAGATTAACGAAGTTGCCTACTAAGGCCAAGCATATTTTGTTTGTGAAAAAGGGGTTTTGCAGTCCCAGAACACGTTGCACAACATAGTTCCTAAAATAAACATGACATAGTTAATATACCTGTATACATACAACAATTAAACAGAGAATAGAAAATCACATATCAAATATATGTATAGATAGATACCCTGAGGGATCCTGGGAGAGGAAAAGTGCATGAGTAGAGATTTTGTCGAGGAGTTGATCTCTGTGCGGGCCTTTGATGTAGTCGATGCTTTCTTTTAATGCTATACATCCCTCATCATCTGTTGCTAGTGCGAGGCAGTTCTTGGCAAGCTCTTCATATAGTGTCTGCAATCCATTATTAACTTAAGTAAGCGGACGAATAAAAACTATGCTACATGTATATAAAAGAGATGTACATGTTGAAACTAACCCTTGTCGTGTTGTATCAAAATATAAGAATAGAATTTTTACCTGATTCTGATGAACATTAAGACTGTCAAAACACTTTAGTACTACAGAGCATGCTATTCGATCGGCCATCATCCAAACGAAATGCCTCGCTAAAATTGAGATAATGTTGGAAACTGAAACCAAGGATGATTTCCCAAGGACTTTGATCAGTCTCTTAGCTGAGTTTGCACTGCATAACATATATGTAAATATAGTTAATTTTGATTTCCAGAATGAAAGAGAGAAATAAAAATAAAAATAAGAGGATTAAAGTATGGACTAAGGAAAATACCCATGTTTAGAGAACAACAATTTTGCGAAAGGTTGACTCTGAAGATTGATCATTGATACGATCAATTGCAGCTGAGATTCATCACAACGTTCAATTAGCCTTGCAAAGACATGACTTCCATGCTCATTACTCATCACGTCATACATGTAAACAAAAATGCCTCCAAATATCCGATCTGTCGTCTGCTTATCATCTTCATCCAATTTCGTTTGTAACCACTGCGATCCCTGTTGATCCAAAGCAAGTTTTGCTATCCTTTGACGTAGCTCAGCGTCACAATCAATCGAGTCTCTTTCTCTCCAAGCCCTGTAGAATTCGAAGTTCTTTTGAGGTTGATAACTTGGTCCTGCTTGCGACACATTAATGCTTCCTCTTTTCTTAAGATCAGCAGAATTTCCCTCATCTAAAACTTCTTCAATTTTCTGGCGGATAATTGTCTTCACCTGAGAGTACTGATCATCGCCACGGTCACAAGTTTCGCAACGGTTTAGGTTTGTCCCCGTTGAACATTCTACAAAAACGTGACAAGATAAGTTTAATACACTAGTTTTAAAAAACTCGAACGTTATTAAAAATAAATAAATTACCAGCTTTATCACTGTTGTCATTCCTGTCAGTTCTCAAACAAAGGTTCTGAAGACTGGTCATAATGTTTTCAAGAGAATTGTTCAAATTAGAGGAATCAGGGTTCAATGGTTCTTGGTTTTTGTTGGTAAAAACGATTTGAGTTTTCCAAGTGAACTACTAAGTGAAAATGAAAAAATATAAAGAAAGAGTAAGAAGAGCAAGAGAGAGTGAGTAAATATAGTAATCACTAGATGTGAACTCTACTACATATGAAGATTTAATGAAAATGTAGTTCGACCCTATACTGATCAGAAACTCATAAGAAATAGAAAGGGAATCGAATCGTGATTAGAGTAGGATAATTATGATTATTATTCGACCAAGAAAAAAAAAAGAGTGGGAATTATACGTGGGATTTGTACATTGTTTCCAGTTTTGGGTCGGAAAGCGGGGAAAAAAAGAGAAAAGAATAGAAAAGAAAAGGAATATTGGTTTAATGATATATTATAATTGGCTAATTTGAACCCTATGTTGGCGCTATAATCGTGATTTGTGAGGTAAGAAATATCGAGTCCTTGTTTCACCATACTTGTTCAAACAAAATAACATTTGATTCTACAAAATGTTAATGTGAGATTCATGCTTAACTAAATTAAAATCTTGAACGTTCAACAAAAATACCAGTTTCGTCTGCCCTGATAATGTGAAGGCTACGAAAGTTGATCGTGACGTCCTCGAGAGAGTGATCCATAGAGGACGCTCTGATTGATGTTTCTTGATTTAAGTTGGTCAAAGGATTTGTGTTGGCCATGTAAACTGGTGAGCAATTACAAAAGATAGAAAGAAGAAAATCAATAAAGATTAAAGAGTGTAAGAATTAAACATGAAAAACAGAACTTAATTCCGAATCTGCAGAAATTATTTTCTCAAGAAAACTACCAGAAACAGCAAAAACCACATAACAGTACTGAGAAGATCAAACCCTCAGAGCCAGCAATCCTCACAGAACTACAAGAAGAAGGAAATCTCTCTTGAAAAACCCAGAATTGTATCAAAAACTTGTATGTTACGTACGTACCATTTGAATAAGCGATCAAAGATGGACAGAAGATTATAAAAAAAGAAAGTTAAAATTTAGAACAGCAAAATGGGTGGTGTCTCAAGAAAATTACCTGAAACAACAGACTCCAGAGAACACCAAGATGAATACCCTCGGACTCGGAGCAACTCTTGTAGAATTTTCTCTCCAAGAAAGCACTCAAGAATTATAATTAGATAGAATAGAATGCAAGGGAAAAAGCTATGCACTAGTTTACAAGCACAATATCCAATTTATACGTAATTAATGCCTCAGACGATATTCCTTTTGCCGCTTATTATAACAGTCCACAATTAAACGCGACCAACTTTGCAAAAAAACGACAGGATATTGAGAAGCGCTAAGTTGTAAGGTAAACGACAGTAGTTAAAAAACGACAAGATGCATAATCTTAGAAACGACATAAAGAATTAGCGTAAACCTAGCATTAGCTATTACCCCTATTAGTCTTTTGTTTTTTAATTTTCATTTTCTTCCATTTGAGTTTGAGGTTTATGATTTGTATTTTTGAGGATTTAACTGGGTTTTGTTTTTCGGTTAATTGTGAGTGGTTTTATTTTTGAAACGACAGAATATTTAAAAACAAAAACAGTGTCGTTGAGGATTTAAACGTGTTCGCATTGTAAAAACTAATGACAACAATACGACGAAAACAACCCAAAACAGCACCATCTTAAAAACGACAGTATTTCTGGGAAACAACAACATTTTATTATAACGACAAAGATACAATATCTTAAAAACGACGACAAATATCCTAGGGGACAATAATTTAACAACACCACGAAAAGCGCAATTGTAACGCACGTCTCGTTTACAACCGAAATGCCAATAATCAAAACTGAAAAATGGAACATCCTAAAACCAGAAGTGATCCCTGTATTTCACTGACATCCATGTGTTTCCTTGACTAGATAATTTTAGTCCCATAAACTTCCAAGATTGTCTCATAATTTTTTTTTTTTTTAATTTTCATTTTCTTCCATTTGAGTTTGAGGTTTATGATTTGTATTTTTGAGGATTTAAGTGGGGTTTTTTTTCGGTTAATTGTGAGTGGTTTTATTTTTGAAACGACAGGATATTTGAAAATAAAAACAGTGTCGTTGAGGATTTAAACGTGTTCGCATTGTAAAAACTAATGACAACAATACGACGAAAACAACCCAAAACAGCACCATCTTAAAAACGACAGCATTTCTGGGAAACAACACAACACTTTATTATAACGACAAAGATACAATATCTTAGAAACGACGACAAATATCCTAGGGGACAATAATTTAACAACACCCCGAAAAAGCGCAATTGTAACGCACGTCTCGTTTACAACCGAAATGCCAATAATCAAAACTGAAAAATGGAACGTCCTAAAACTAGAATGTGATCCCTGTATTTCACTGACAACCATGTATTTCCTTGACTAGATAATTTTAGTCCCATAAACTTCCAAGATTGTCTCATATTTTATAAATCAACAAATAAAAAATACAGTATGCGCAAAACAAATTTAAATATATAAATTATAAACCAACGAACAAACAATAATAAAAACTCATAGAATATAAAACATAATAGGTTGCTAAGTGATTAATATAAAGTATAAGACACATAACATATCTGTAGGAAAATATTTATATATATATATAAATAGATTTGGTTTTTTGCTCTTAATACCTGCGCATTAAACTAAATTCAGAGGTTGCTTAATACCTGCGCATGCTTTTTTTTTTAAAATTTTTTTTCTTGACTAACCTAGAAGAACAACTGCAAAGCCATAGAAATTTGGAATATATGCCAAGGTGAATTGCCTCTACATAAGCACAAGTTCTTGGAACATCTTCATGGCTGGAGGCTGGAGCGCAGGCAGACATAATACTACATTTATGCTTTTTCTCTCTTTCCCATGAGAGAGGAACAATATCACTTCCTTCTCTTATGTTGCATGGGTGGGTTGGGTTGATCTCTTGATCAGGTTAATCGGGTTTAAATTATAATGGATTGGGTTGGATGGGTTAATCGGATTTCTCGAGTTTTCGAGTTTTTTATTTACTCCTATTTGATATGATCAATTGCAGCTGAAAATGATCACAACGTTCAACTAGACTTGCAAATACATAACCTCCATTCTCATCCCTCACAACGGCAAACATGTGCGCAAGTATTTTGGGAGGACTTTGTAAAAATAACTTAATAAAAAAGTTTTATTAGTAAAATAACTTTTCAAAAATTTGTATTTACAAAATGACTACAGAATGACCATTTTTTTTTTAATCAGGTGATTGTTCTTCATAAAAAATAAAGAAGGTCATTTTGTCAATTTCACTTTGTTGGATAATCATTCTAGCATATTTCTCACATTTTGGCATACATTTTTGGCGTGATGAGAGATGAGAAGGAAGTTATGTCATTGCAAGACTAATTGAATGTTGTGAAGAGCAAGAAGTGAGTAAATGTGATCGCTAGAGAAATGTAGTGAAAACTAGATATCAAGATTTAATGAAAAGTAGTTTGGCCTTGGTGGGGTATATACACTCATCAGAAATTGAATTCTGATTTTATGTGGGATTCTTCGAACAAAAAAAAAAAAGTGTGGGAATTATATATGGGATTAGTATAGTTCTATTAAGATACGCAGTGGGTATTTTTCCCTGTCTTGGGTAGGAAAGCTGGAAAAAAACAGAAAAAAGAAAAAGAAAAGGATAGGCTTCATGATATATCCTAATTGGCTAATTTGAATCCTATGTTGGCGCTATAATTGTGATTTGTGAGATAACAAATCTCGACTCCTAACAAAAAAATCTTGATAATTCATTCAACACAAAAGTAAACGACAAACCTTGAATAATAACGACACAAAAAAAGAAATTGTGCTGTATCCATCGCCATGAAAGCAGTAAGCACAATGTAATTTCCACTTTTGCTATGCTAATCCTCAAATTAAACTAAATTCAGAGGTTGCTTAATACCTGCGCATGCTTTTTTTTTTTTAATTTTTTTTTTCTTGACTAACCTAGAAGAACAATTGGAAAGCCATAGAAATTTGGAATATATGCCAAGGTGAACGACATCTACATTTATGCTTTTTCTCTCTTTCCCATGAGAGAGGAACAATATCACTTCCTTCTCTTATATATGTTATATTTATATTAGATGGTGTAACTGGTTTGATTGCTTTTATTTGTTCTTCTAGATTTCAGTACAAATAACCCTCTTTGAAATGTTTTTTTTTTAAAATGACCATAGTTTTATAAAATTACAAAACTGACCATTTTTATTAAATTAGTGATTAATGACTGATTGACTTAGCGGTCTATAACTGCTTGACTTAGTGATCAATCACTGATTGACTTAACGGACTATCAACGTTTGACTTTGGTTTATCACTAATTAACTCGATAATTCTTCATTATTAATTAATATTAATAATTAACTAAAACCAAGTAATAATTAATCAATTTCAATCAATAAATTACAGATTTATTAATGATAAATCATTGATAAATTAATAATGACAATCACTGATCGACCATGACTAACTATGGTCAATAATTGATTGAATGTGAGTCAAGACTCATGTTGACAAAACTGCTATTTTTATAAAATAAAAAAAGTTTGGTCATTTATAAAAAGAGATGGTAAAAAAAGCCTTCAGCTAATTTTTCCTTGTTGTCTTTATTTGCGCTGCCAATTATGTTGAAAACTATCTATTGAACGGGGTTGGATTAGAAGAAGTCGCATGGATGCCGTTTCAATTAATTCCTTCTCAAACTTTTAATAATTTTTTTTCGCTTTAAGAATAGTTTTCTCATTACATAAGTCGCCATACTTATCAAAATAATATCACAAAAAACAAACCCCAAATAATCCCAACATAGTTGTCCAACAGAAACACAAACTATTTCCAGTGCCAACGAATATATTTCATTTTTCTTCTTTTGTCTTCTTCAAAGACTTTTTGGCTTGATTTTGATTTTTTTTTTAGTTACATGTGATGATTATTATGCCCAATCAGTAAGAAAATAAGTAAATGCATCTTCGAGAGAGAGTCTAAATCAAAGTATAAATCAATTAAATTTTATTACCAAAAAAAATATAAAACTGACAAAAACTATACTAGAAAAACAAATGAAAGACTAAGACTAAAAGTTCACTATCCTCAACCGACAGGACAACATGTGATGACCCGTATATCAGAGATTAGCATTTAGATTCACATCACTGTTGAGGATCAAATTGTAGACTTTCCTCCCATAACCTTTCTCCAATTTTTTCATATCCCGACGGAGCTTCGTCACCAGCATTTCATAGTATGGGCTCTTTGCGCTCTGAAAATTAAAGATGGAAAACAATCAAGAGTCAGAAATCGATAGAGTAACTATTGAGTAATCTAACTAAATCTTATATATAAATGAGGTTTGAACAAAATAATAATAATAATAATATATGCACCTGGGCAAGTTCAAGAGCTCTCTGGATGACATAATTTCCGAACCGGTTACTAGCAACCTCCCACAACTTGTCATAGGCATTCAAATCAGACAGCACGCGATCCATTCCAAACGGCGTTTTTAAGCATTTCTCGACTACGTGGCTTGCAGATTTCTGCATAGAGAGATTAACGAAGTTGCCTACTAAGGCCCAGCATATTTTGTTTGTGAAAAAGGGATGTTGCAGTCCCAGAACACGTTGCACAACATAGTTCCTGAAATCGCATGACATAGTTAGTTTATAATCTACAATATTTATACATAATATTAAAAATTAAACAGAAAAAAGAGTAGTACAATATCAAATATATGTATAAATAGATACCCTGAAGGATCCTGAGAGAGGAAAAGTGCATGAGTAGAGATTACGTCGAGGAGTCGATCTCTGTGCAGGCCTTTGATGCACTCTATGCTTTTGTTTAATGCTATACATCCCTTATCATGTGTTGCTAGTGTGAGGGAGTTCCTTACAAGCTCTTCATATAGTATCTGCAATCCATTTTTAACTCGAGTAAGCTGACAAATTAAAACTATGTACTACATATCAAAGAGATTGCTCGCGTAATATAAAGATAAAAATATAATATTCACCTGATTCTGATGAGCATTAAGACTGTCAAAACACTTGAGTATAACAAAGCATGCTATTCGATTGTTCATCATGAAAGCGAAATGCCTTGCTAAAATTGAGATGATGTTGGAAACTGAAACTGAGGCTGATTTCCCAAGCACTTTGATCAGTCTCTTAGCCGAGTTTGCACTGCATAAAACATGTATTGTTCAGAGTTAATTTTGATTTACAGATTGAAAGAGAGAAATAAAAATAATAATAAGAGGATTAAAGTATGGACTAAGAAAAATACCCATGTATAGAGAACAACAAATTTAGGAAAGGTTGAGTCTGAAGAGTTATTATTGATACGATCAATTGCAGCTGAGATTCATCACAACGTTCAATTAGCCTTGCAAAGACACGACTTCCATGCTCATTACTCATCACGTCATAAATGTAAACCAAAATGCCTCCAAATATCTCATCCGTCTCCTGCTTATCGGTTTGCATCAATGTCGTCTGTAAATACTCAGATCCCTCTGGATCCAAAGCCAGTTTGGCGATCCTTTGATTTAGCTCAGCAGCACAATCGATAGGATCTGTTTCTCTCCAAGCCCGGTAGAATTTAGTTCCGAAGTCCTGTACTGATGGTTGATAACTTGGTCCCGTCTGTGACACAATGCTTCCTCTTTTGTCAAGAGAAGAAATTTCCTCGTCTAAAACACAATGCTCAATAATGTTCTGATGAATTATTGTTCTCACCTGAGACTGATTATTGTCATGGGCATGAGTTATGCGACCCTTCGTATTTGACCTCGTTGAAGATTCTACAAAGAAGGAACAAAACAACATAAGTTAAACACTACACAAGAAAAATATACATTAAATATTAATTACGACTACTAGCCTAAAACTCGTATCTTATAAAAAAATAATAATAATAATAAATAAATAAAAAACACACCAGCTTGATCATTGTTGTCATTCTTGTCAGTTCTCACACGAAGGTTTTGAAGATTGAGCGTAATCGTGTTTTCAAGAGAATGATCCGAAGACGAACCAGGAGTTAATGGTTCTTGGTGGTTCCCGTTGGCGAAAGGATTTGAGTTTTCCATGTGAACTACTAAGTGAGAATGAGAAATTGTAAAAGAAAGAATAAGAAGAGCAAGAGAGAGTGAATAAATGTGATCGCTAGAGAAAATTAGTGCGTAGTAAACTCTACTAGGATATCTAGATTTAATGAACAGTAGTTCGACGCTTGGTATGTATATATACTGATGAGAAAACTCATACGAAATCGAAAGGGAATCGAGTTGTGAACTAAGTAGAATTATGATTATTCAGCAAAAAGGAGAGAAAAAAAAAAGGAGCGGCAATTATGGAATTAGTAGAGTCCTAGTAAAACACTGTTTCCAGTCTTGGGTCCGAAATCTGTTAAAAAAAAAAAAAGATTGGCTTCATGATATATCCTAATTGGCTAATTCGAGTCCAATGTTGGCGCTATAATCGTGCTTTGCGAGATAAGAAATCTTTAGTCCTTGTTTCACCATTCTTGTTCAAAAAAACAAAAATATCAATATCCTGATTACTAACTGTAAGGGAAAAAAATAAAATTAAAGTAAAATATCACAATTTAGAAAGAGATAATTACTTATTTCTGGAGAAATCATCGGAACATTGGTTACAATAACAAAAAATTATAATAATTACATTCGTTAGTTGTTACAAGGAAATGCAGTTCAGTTTCCTTTTGTCTATTGAATGCGAAACGACACCATATTAAAAGATGCGACAGACATTAAATGAGAGCGAAAGGTCCTTGTCAATTATTGAAACGACAACACCCTAAATGAAACGACAAAAAAATATCATCTCAGAGGAAGGACAATATGTAGGAAAGGACAACATAGTAAAAACGACTGTAACAATAAACGACAGCCTTAAATGACAACGAACTATAAAACGTCAGAAAGATAAAAAAAAAATCGAAGGATACGGTCCGGCCTGTGTAGCACCCCACTGGATAATTGGGTGAGGTCGGGCCACAATTTCTTTCTGGTAGTCCAGCCCTGCCCTTTTTCGTTTCGTAGTCAGGCCGGGCCAGAAGACCCGTTTCTAAATCATTCCAACACATTTGTGAACGACAAAAATTTACACAAGGATACGGTCCGGCCTGTGTAGCACCCCACTGGATAATTGGGTGAGGTCGGGCCACAATTTCTTTCTGGTAGTCCAGCCCTGCCCATTTTCGTTTCGTAGTCAGGCCGGGCCAGAAGACCCGTTTCTAAATCATTCCAACACATTTGTGAACGACAAAAATTTACAACAACGACACAAAACTGAAATTGTGCTGTGTTCACTGACAAGCAAGAAAGCAGTAACCACAGTATAATGGTGTCTGTAAGGTTTTAACTTTTGTTTTGCTAAATGAAGATCAATATAAATTTGTTCAGAGGTTGCTTGCTTATAAATTCAGAAAAAGGTAAACAACTTGGAGACATAAAGAAGAAGATTGTTGGGATTTTGGTCTTGATATTTGCCTTATTCGGCTTTGATTAATTTTTTATGTTGGTATTATTTTGGGCGAGATTTGATGATGAACTGATTAAGGGATGATTGACAACAAATACATTATTTGGGGAATGTTTTGTTTTGAGTTTTGCTGCAGGTTTCCTCTTGGAGAATTTTGGATTGTTTCCTTTTTGCTTGATATGAGGATTTCGGATTCCTATTGATGATTTAATTGAGAGTCTGTTTTGGAAATTTTGTGGCTGATTGAAAGCTATGAGGAAACTTAGATTATCCAGGAAACATGATTGGGAAACTGTGTCAAATTAGTTGTATTTGATTGATTTGGAAAATGTCAACTTATGTGCATTGTTGGTTTATAGGCGTCTTGTATTAAGAGGGAATCTTGAGGAGTCTGAGTCCTTGTAGAGTTGCAAATTGAGTTTTTAGTGAATTGTTTATTATCTGAGCGTAGTCTCACAGAATGGGTGTTGATTTGGAAAATGTCAACTTATGTGCATTGTTGGTTTATAGGCGTCTTCTATTAAGAGGAAGTCTTGAGGAGTCTGAGTCCTTGTAGAGTTGCAAATTGAGTTTTTAGTGAATTGTTTATCATCTTAGCGTAGTCCCACAGAATGGGTAGTTACCGAACCGCAATATCAATTCTCTTGTGTTTTTCTATTTTTTCCTTTTATTCATGCTACAAATTTATAATAAACGTGATATAAGACTCAACCGGTACCAACAAAGACAAAAGAAGTGAAATGAAATAAAATTAGGCAAAGAAAGATCAACAATAATGCCCATAAGCTCATATAGTTCTTCTTGAAACAACTATCATTTAAATGGACGAGAGAGCGAGAAGAGAAATACACTATGGACTATTTTCGCCAAACACACTAATTACTTAATACCTATTACACTTTATCCTTCACTAGCCTAGATGAACAATCCGAAACTCATAGCAACTTGGAATAAAAGAAGTTACATAAGATATGGAAAGTTAGATATGCATAAGTTGTTGGAACATTTTCATGGCTGGAGCTGGCAGACCCAATAACACATTTATGCCATTTCTCTCTTTCCCATGAGAGAGGAATAATATCACCTCCTTCTCTGGCAGTGCCACTGGACCTGATAAAACCGGCTCTCCCCATCCGAAATCCGTTTTATGAAACGACAGCCTAGACCAAGTAGTGATCAAAAGAGTTGAAGCCAAAGAAGGCCTAGCTCTTGTGACTTCAAAGTAATCTATGGCTGATCTCATATACCTGTCGTTTACTATGTTAATGGCTTCTTGGACTAGCCTAACTGCAAAGGACAAGGGCTTCTCCATGAGCTCGCCGGCTTGGCAAATTGAATTTGTTAGTACTATGCCATTGCCAAAGTACCCTTTTGGAAGTGGTGGGATAAACTTAGGCCTTCCATCAACAGCAAATAGGAGCTTTGTCTCTTGCTCTGGCAACATTCTCAGCGCCTTGGTTCGGCCTCTCCACACAAACGCTGAGAGTGCTTCGAATGTAGTACATTTTTCTAGAGCTCCATTTTCCTTAGCTTTCATCTTTAGCTTTTCAAGCATCTCAGGGTCAAAACAGAAGGATTTGTAGAGCATTTTATCCTCATAGAGCTTGTTGGTGGAAGAAACGTCTTTAATCTCGGAGAATTCACGATGTAGGTATTCAATCCGAGAAGGGACCCGTGACTTGAGAATGGTCCTATCAAGAAAAGGAGGGGCAGTTAAGGGTATTCCCCTGGCAGTCTCACCCCATGAGTTAACAAATTCCATAGCACCAATTCCATCAACCATGCAATGGTTTAGGCACAGACCAAGCACAAAGCCTCCACATTTTAATTTAGTCACCTGAAAAATAACAATTTCAAGAAGCTAACTTAAATTTCCTCCAATAATTTTAAAATGCTTCATAGTTTGATACTAGAACACATGAACAAATACAAACCTGAGCAACCAAAGGAGGCATTTCTAGTATGTTCTTTGCACCAGGAACATCATAGACCAGCTTCCCAAGAGTCTCCGAATCAGGCTTTGTCAGATCTCCAATCTCCTCCATCACACAATCTGCTTCAGCCTCGACGAAAACAACGCCTTCTCTGCTGCAGTTTACGATGAGTTTTCCCTCCGAGCTGATTGTTAGCCGCCCCGCGAGAGGGTAATAGTAGACAAGAAGTTTCTCCAAGGCATTCCTGATCACTTCCCCTGCCTTGTCATTTCCTTTCTCCTCCGACTTGAATCCATAGATTGTTCGAACAATCACCGCGATGTTCTGGTCCAGGTTTGACAGAAAGTAGAGACCCTTTTCGGTTTCCTCTGCCGGGCAAACCAGAGTTGGCTCTCTTCTCTTAACTATCAGCTCAAACACATTGCTGTTTGATTTCTCCATGACAGCAGATTCTCCGAACTCCACACCCTAGAGCAGAATATAAATACCAAAAGACAAATGTCAAACACAGCAGACAAATAAGCAATGTGGTAAAGAATGTGGCTCTGTATTAAAATGAAAGTTAATTCATTCTCCTTATATATACACACACATATATATATATATGTGTTCCTAGGAGAAATCATACCATGTGAGGAATGTGATGTAAAGAGAATAGTGATAATCAGAAACAGTTCAAAAGGAATCTGCTTTAACCAAATAGCAGTAATGATCAGGAACACATGAATTGTACTGAAACTGGAAGCTTATTAGACTCTGTCAAATGAAGTGTTCTTTTTTTTCTTTGTTCCTTTTTTTTTTTCAGTGGAGTTAGTAGATTACATATTTATAGAAAGCGAAAAGTGGTCAGGCTAATTCAAACCAGAGTTGGCTCTCTTCTCTTAACTATCAGCTCAAACACATTGCTGTTTGATTTCTCCATGACAGCAGATTCTCCGAACTCCACACCCTAGAGCAGAATATAAATACCAAAAGACAAATGTCAAACACAGCAGACAAATAAGCAATGTGGTAAAGAATGTGGCTCTGTATTAAAATGAAAGTTAATTCATTCTCCTTATATATACACACACATATATATATGTGTTCCTAGGAGAAATCATACCATGTGAGGAATGTGATGTAAAGAGAATAGTGATAATCAGAAACAGTTCAAAAGGAATCTGCTTTAACCAAATAGCAGTAATGATCAGGAACACATGAATTGTACTGAAACTGGAAGCTTATTAGACTCTGTCAAATGAAGTGTTCTTTTTTTTCTTTGTTCCTTTTTTTTTTTCAGTGGAGTTAGTAGATTACATATTTATAGAAAGCGAAAAGTGGTCAGGCTAATTTTAAGCTCAATGGTCAAATTTCCTCTTTTGGACAATAAATATTAATGTGAATTGGATGGGTGGTTGTGCCTGACACATTCGTGATGAATCATGGCAGTGTAAAACAAGAAAATAATGATAGTAAAATAGATTTCTCGGTTAAGATTTGTTTGAGGACACATTTGGTACTATTGAATTGGTCATTGGCATATGTATATGGATGGGGTTAGGCCATTGGCATTAGGACCTAATTTACCAGACAAATAGAATATTGGAGGTCTATATCTATATGTGTCTGTGTGTATATATATATATATATGCCATTTTGGTGTGGTTGGTCTCCAAAAATAATTGGCTTACTCATCAATCTCCAATATAATATATTTCATTGCTTGTTTACATCTCACAAATTCAAGTCAATGCCAGTCAAATACAATTTTTGCGCATAAGAAAAACAAATTTGTCCAACATGGGCATTGACAATACACATTCTCTGTGAAATTTTTTCATAATTTCGAACATATGTGTGAGATTTAATGATCTTATATCTACACTTGTGTCATTCATGCGTATTTGGTGTATCTTTTACCGGATCATGCATGTGATGGTTCACCGCTTTACTCCTTGTAATAGACGACTTGGTCCCATTAAAGTTTTTTTTTTTTTAAGATTAAAAAAATGAAGAAAAAGAAAAGAAAGAGAATTGTATTTCCACTCCAATATGTATTAGATGTGTCTTTAGTATTTCAGCTGTGAGTACTGATTAGATCAGTTAGGACCATCCATAACTCATAACACTAAAATGGTATAGCTTTTACTTCAAATTGTAAATATATCTCCAACTCCAACCCATTACACTATTTTTACCCCTAAAAAAAATATTCCGTGTATATTCCTTTTTGTAAATTAAAAGAGAAAAAAAATAAAGTTAAAAAAATTATAAGGGCGCCAAATTTGGTGTTGAGTGATAGTGGAAATGCATATTTGCGTTTCTACTGTCCACCCCACACAGTTCACTCCAAAATGACGTGCAAAAATAGTGTATAGTTGGACAATATCTCTAACGTCAATCCTGCTTTTTCACACTAAAATGGTGTGCGATGAATAGAGGTGTCAAATGAACCGAGCTGTCTATGGACGGCACGGCTCAGTCCGTAATAGTGTCGGATTCGGCACGGCCTGGTATGATACTGTTACGGGCCGTGCCGGCCCAACATGTTTGATGGGCTAAGGCTTCTCAACCCGCGGCCCAAGCCCGGCCGTAGCCCGTGAAGGCTCGCGGCCCGACCCAAGCCCAATTCGGCCCAAGCCCGGATTCAGCCCTTGTTCGGCCCACGAAATGTCCCGCCAAAAAGCCTTATAGCCCTTGAGGATTGTGACCGTTGGGCCCTTTGCAGGTCCAATGGTCACAATCTAAAACAAGCCCCTAAAATTTCATATAAATACCCCTTAATTTCATCATAAATCTCACACAATAATTTACTCTCAACTTCTCATCTCACTATCAATTTATCTCTCATATTGTCTCTTTGATTTTGATTCTAAACTTTTCTCTCGCGATCACACATTTTCTTGCTCTTTCGTTTACAAAGTTTAAGTTCAATTAATTTTCAGAAAATAGTCGCATTAAACTTTCCTGATTTCACTGCTCTCCTTGAGCTTGGTCTTGAGCCATTTTTTGTGGATGAAATGATGGCTCATAACCCCACCCCCACTGAACCGGAAAATGCTCCGGTTGATAATGCTTCAACGAGGAAGTTGGAGAACGCAACAGAGGAAAAAGACCGTGTACTTCTCCTGCATGACAGCATTTCACAGAGCTCCGACCAAATCCAAAAACAGGTGAAATGAAAATTCATACGGTATGTAAGTATTGTAAAAAGCATTTTTCTAATAAAAAAAGTGGGGGTACTGGTCATCTGGATAGACATTGGAAAGTATGTCTACCGTTGCATTAATGTGAGAGTGTGGACTCCCGCCAACAAACACTATCACTCATATCACAAAGGTTGTAAAATTTTACATACGATGCATAATGTGCTCGTGAGGCACTAACTAAATTTTTAACTAGTGGCGAATTACCTCTTTCTTTTACAGATGATGCGGCGTTCGAAGAGGGATTTTATTTTGAGCCGTCAATCTTATCTTATCATATTATGTTACTTCTGCATATTTTTTTGTTTTTAGCTTTATTCGAGTTTGACCCGATCTAAGTTAAGAGAAATGCATTACGTCTCCTTAATAATACTTTTAACAAAATTTGCAAAACCATTTCTTTCCCTATAATTAAGTTAGAAAGCAAAGACGTCCACTCGTACGTCAATCACCAACTTCTACAGAATAATAATAATAAATAAAAGCATCCGACAAAGTTGAGCTTCGTGATGACCAAACACCCATAATGGCAAAAACAAATCCAAACACGTATTTTGCCAATCCAAACACGTATATAACAATTAACTGGCTTGGCACCGAAACCCCACTTTAGTTTGGGTTAGAGGGAGAGAAACAAAAGATGGGATTGAGAGGAATTCTGGGGTTTGAGTATGGAATAGTACAAGCACCATTGGGACCTGATATTTCTGGTCCAGAGCTTGTTGCTGCTGTTGCCAATGCCGGTGGCCTTGGTCTCCTCAGAGCTCCTGACTGGGTAATTCTATTTGCTGATTCTTTTTCATTTTGATGCAAATGAAAATAATAATAATAAAAACCATCTATTTGATTTGCATTCTCAAGAGTATCTTTAGTATGATTTAGTTATGTGAATCTATAGTTTACTCAACATACTATCAATAGAGCATTATGGCATGAAATATAGCATAGTAAAGAAATTTTAGTAGGGAATAAGTATTGATATAAGAAAAACTAGTTAACAAATGTTTACTATCCTCAGAAGATTACACAATCGAAACTGAATTTGTACGTTAAGCAGAGTTTTATTTATTTATTTTCTAATTTATGCCACCAGGAATCACCTGATTACTTAAAGGAGCTAATAAGAAGGACAAGAAGCTTAACAGACAAACCATTTGGTGTTGGTGTTGTTCTGGCGTTTCCCCATGAGGAAAATGTGAAAGCCATATTGGAGGAGAAGGTTGCAGTTTTGCAGGTTTACTGGGGTGACTGTTCTCAGGATCTCGTTGTGGAAGCTCATCGAGCGGGGGTTAAAGTTGTTCCTCAAGTGAGTCGCTTTACGCATAGTTTCTGATTCTGTCTTTTAAGAAGAGCTAATTTCTTAGAAAACCACAAGCTATTCTGTGGATGGTCAAAGCTCTACTAGGAAGTCATCCAAACACTTTCAGAAACCAACTTTTAGGCCCAGAAAGGAATGTCAAACAAGCTTTCAAGTATGTTTGTATAAAGAGACACTTAGTCATATATACTAAAGCATGTAACTGCAATAAACTTGGACTAAGAACTATATGGTTTATTATAAAGTCTATAATGGATTTTGTTTGTATTGCAGGTTGGGAGTATTGAGGAGGCAAAGAAAGCAATAGAAGCGGGAGTAGATGCAGTTATTGTCCAAGGACGCGAAGCAGGCGGACACGTGATTAGTAAGGTACAAGTACAATTCTTTTTTCAGTTCAAATACCTTAAAAAAATCTCTCTCCTTGTTCTAGCAAAGCTACTACAATCCTTTGTTGCTAAAAATTCATTGCATAATATTGTTGCTTCATACTTCTTCCGTTGGCGCATCAAATTTTGCAAAGATAGGTGACCACTGAAGTGAATGTCCAGCCTAGGTCAAGAAATCAACAACCAAAAAATGCAAATCTATTATCGAGCTTTTGTTTGGAAACTTATTACTGAATGTTTTGTTGGTTACAATTCCTCTTGATGATGAACAAAAAACAAGACGATAGATATCATTTAGTTATTATGTGCTATGTATTCTCGTCTTTGGTTATCCTTCTACTGATCAGGTCTAGTTGAGGGATAATAGAGCCTTTCTAACATCAGTTATAGTATTGGAACTTCTTAAACTCCTCTTGATTCTAATTGAAGACGCACAAGGTCATTTGTGATGATGAATTCCATCTCTACAAATATATATGTAACACTGATCTATGTTAGGCATAAACAAATTTTAGGATAAACCAACCATTCATAATCGGTCTGTTTGGCGACAATACAGAATGTATTAACAACTCGCATTTGTTATTGCATTGCAACAGGAGGCTCTGTTTCCATTGTTGCCAAGGGTAGTTGATCTTGTTGGAGATCAAGATATACCTGTTATTGCTGCTGGAGGCATTGTGGATGCTCGCGGTTATGTTGCTGCCTTAGCACTTGGAGCTAAAGGCGTGTGTCTAGGCACCAGGTTTGAAATGCCTTCTTTGTACTTAAAAAAAAATAATAATAAAAAAAAGGGTTTATTTGAGCAATCTGATTACAGTATGCTGCTATGCAAGCTGTGTCATGCATTCAAACAGTCATGACATAGTTTTGCCTCCACATTTGTAGCAAGTTAGAGAAAAGTAAAATATTTTAAGGGGGGGGGGGGGGGGGGAACAATCACACTTGGCAAGTAAGGCCAATACTCTTATTTTTATCACATCAAACATAGTTTCAAGTTAATTTGATTTTGCTTACTCTGAGTCCACGAGATATTTTCTGCCGATGTGAAATTTAGTTATACCTTTTCCCCAGCCAAGTCTTACATGTTTTAGAATTTTTAAGTTGTGATATACGGAACGTATTTCAGGTTTCTTGCAACAGAGGAAAGTTATGCTCATCCTATATACAAGAAGAAGTTGATTGAATTTGAGAGGACAGAGTATACCGACATATTTGGGCGAGCAAGGTGGCCAAATGCACCGCATCGTGTCCTTCAAACACCATTCTTCAATGAGTGGAAATCTCTTTCTGCTCATGAGAATGAAACAAATCAACCTGTCATTGGTCAATCAACAATACATGGCAAGGTAAAGAGTCTATACTTAACTTTATCATCCACTTTTGATGATGAATGTGGTACTTTATCATCCACTCTTGATGATGAATGTGGTAGTCCTTTTGATTTTTTGTTTCCATTATCCATGTTATCCAGTCTTAATTTTTATGCACTAATCAGTAATCATTAAAAGTTTTTTTTTTCTTTTTCTTTTATGAACTTAAAGCTCAATCCTTATTTGATTTCATATTCTTCTCCGTCAGGAAAAAGAAATTCACCGCTTTGCAGGTACTGTTCCAAATGTGACAACAACAGGTGACATAGAAAGCATGGCAATGTATGCTGGCGAAGGTGTAGGTCTGATCAAGGAAATTTTACCTGCCGGTGAAGTGGTAAAGAGACTAGTTGAAGGTGCTCTAGTTCTGATCCAACAGAAGTTCAGTGAGATATAAGTTATGATCCAGTTACTTAAGTTCCCAAATGAAGGATAATACACTGCTAATAAAAGTTTGTCTTTTGCAACCCTAATAAATTTGATACATAACATGTTAATTATAAATCATGAATTTCTCTGGTGTTCCATGTACTTTAGAAACACCGGTTTTCTTTGCTTAGCAGCCGTTGGATCTGTATTATTTTTTCAATTTGATTTGACTTTTGACCAGATTTAATACAGATCCGACGACTGATAAGCAGAAAATACCGGTCTTTCCCAAAAAGCATGTTTTCCTCTCAACGTGTTTGTACATGTTCTCATGTTTCTCTGCATCAGAGCATTTGAAAGGATGAGCATAACTCATTCTTCAAAAAATTATGTATTATGGATCGAACTATAATACCTTGTAATGTAATTTAGTACAATCTTTTGCACGTTTTAGACCACACAAGGGAGTACTCACTCCTTCACCGTCACTCTTATAAAAGCGTCCTTAGTGTTTCAGCGAACTTCACAACGTCAATCTGTGTTTACATGTATTTATACTCATTACAGAATCCAAATAAAAATAAAGCCAGTAGGAATCAAGCTAAAAGTGGAAACCTTGAGTATGAGCATTATAATGTCAATGAAACACGCAACAATCTATAGTTTAATATTACAGCTCTTGTGATTGCACTTCTGTTTGTTCTCATCAGACCACCAAACTCTTCCCCATTAGGCTCGCAGACGGCTTCACAGAGATGTATTCATGATGGTTTCACAGGAGTCCTTTCAAAAGCTACTCAAACACAGCCTCATATCTTGATATCTTGGCCCTTTATACGTATGCTTGAAACTGACTCTATTCCAAGTACCCAAAACAACTGACCTCAAAGGGATGTCATGCCTGGCCACACTTGCTTAGACAATTAATTCCTTCTTCTTGATAGTCTTCTCTGCTAATCCAAAACTCAGGAGCATCCTGCATGTGTCATTCACGCTATTCAAGTTTTATCAACTTTCAAAGACAGAACAGAAAGCTCAGCTTTAAAATAAATAAATAAATAAGAGACCCTAAAAATTGAGCCTTAAAGCTGGAGAGAGAATGAGTAATGACATGTACCTTCATAATTCCTGCAAGGACTGCACCGCCTAAATACACCATGTGTTTTCTTCGTGGCGGATCTTCAATGCGTAGCCGCAATTTCTGTTACATACTGCAAATTAGTTCAATAATGGAAGAACAAGAAAACTTTAAGCTATTCTTTGCTATTGATTTCTGACGCTTTAGCTACTTTTCTCTAAATCTCTTTCTGTAATTAGAATTATGGCAATTAATAACTTATCTATTAAGTAGCTACTCATAATCTAGAACATGCGATTTACCTTCAATCCATCTTTGTTACCCTTCAGAACAACGTCAAGATAACGATCCAGAATCTCTTTCTCCAAACTGAACAAACGTTAAATTCCAACCATCAGACACCACAGATAACACTTGGAAGGGTTATTATCATTTTGATGCCCCATCTTTTAACATAATATTATAAAGGAATCCTATTGTTTTTAAATATCGTTCTGGTACCAAAACCCTTTTTTGAACATAAAATGTTGCTTTTACCCTTTGCATTAATTAAATTCAAAATTATAATTTTTATCTATCTAAAATTAAAACAAAATATAAAATTCAACGACTTAAATAAGACTTAAAATTATTTTTTTGGTAGATTTTTTGTTTGCCCGTTCACTTCAGCGCTAGGAAAATACAAAGGAATTTCATACCCCTCTAGAATTCAATTCACATGCAAACTGAAACTGGACATTATTTGATGTGCAAAGAGAGGTCACGACATTACCGACTAGGTAAACCAGGATACATTGTGCTCCCTCCGCTTAGAACTATATGCTGGTAAAGCTGCACAGAGAAATCTCATTGAAATTCAAAAAATTAGATGGCATGACCAAACAACTGTATAGTTAAGATCATATTAACAGATGCTAGTAATTATGTAGATCTGAAGAAGGGGATAAAACGAACTGTAATCCCTTGCATTCTCTTTATAAATGAACCACCTAAAACATAAGCAAAGTTGTTACCATCATTCGGTTGTCAATATCCATTTCCTGAATGCAACGAAACACCATGTCAGCCATCCCATCACCTTCGACATCGATCAGTTCCTATGGAAAGAGCTGTGAGCTAAAGAAACCTTAATCCTATAAAACAAGTGTAATGACTTGCATCCTCTGATAATTATAGCACATATACAACCAAATATTTAAAAAACCAGTGGTACGAGTTTAAAGAAAGTCGTCCTTCAAAAGAAGTTTAAATTCACTCCCAAGTGATAATAATTGCCGACATTGGAGACTAACAAGATGGTTTTTTTTAATAATAGGCTTACAACTCTTTATATATTTAGAGCAATTTAGTTGACCTCAAACCAACTTAGGCAGGCTACAATCAGTAGAACATAGCAGTCAGCCATTAAAGTGAGTAGAGCAACAAGTCTAAGGAAACACAAAGAGAGAGTAGTCAAGCTTACAGGGGTGAAAAGAGCCTCGGGAGCCTGGAATCGTTCAGTGCCAACTTTAATGACCCTTCCATCTGGCAACTGATAAAAAAGTTATTGTAAGATGTAATAAATGTGCAACTAATATTAGAAGCTACTCTTTAAAGGAAAACAGAAAATCTGAAACAAAATCTAGAGGCCAGACTCATCAATTCAAATCAAGAGCAAAATTACAGCAAAATTACTAGCATCACAACAAATAACCAACAAAGAGGATAATGACAGGAATGAGGATAAAATTGTGCCTACGGCTATCTCAAATTTTTCCTATCCTATTGAGATATATATATATATATATATATTTGCTATGCTATTCGGCTGAGCAAATTCCTTGAAGAATCTTGTACTGCAATTAGAAACGAGAAAACAAACATTCATAAAACAAGAAACACTTACAGTGTAATTCTTTACAAGGATGGTGGTCTCAAGACCCAGTTGGTACTCCCTCTTGTAATCATAACTACAGAAAAATAGAAATGAGAACTACAACAAATTTTGCATCATCAGAGACTTAAGAGATATAGATGAGATTTATTTCTTCACCTTATGTAACAGAGCTTCTCCTTAATTTCCCTAACAGTCTCAAAGTCTGCATTCCTATTCATTGCGTACCTTCAAAAAAAAAAAGAGACAAAAAAAGCTGTTTATTTTGAAGTACAATTCTAAAATCCTGCCCCTGTTGTTTCCTGAGTGCAAGAAGTTTTACTTAAAGAACCAAAATGTTATTAAAGTTGCTGATGAATTATAAACAGCTTGTCCTCACCCTCTCCGAGAGAGCAAATCAACAAGATAAGAGGTAATGTGTCGGCCAGCTACATTCATTCGCTTTGTAAGATGAGGGAATGAGTAACCATCAACAACGGGGACCTGAGAAGGTCAAGCAAAAGAGGTATAATAAAATATTAAAATAGTGAGAACACCACACAAATTAATATAACAGTTCTCCTACAGTATTGCATGGAAAATCTTCTTCTGAAGTTTACCACATGAGTTACACCATCACCAGAGTCAATCACTAGCCCAGTCAACAAACCTGTGAGAAGTCAAGAAACAACGAAGAAAATGAGGAAAGGAGGACACATTATAGAAACGATTTCATTCTTCATTTCTATGAGTTCCATTATCTTCAAGATGCAGTGCTCTAAAGCCCATGAAAGGGCAACTAAAGGTTTAAACCATCAAAAAAAGTGAAAAAAGACATTGAAGAAGCAAAAAAACACAAGGAAAAAAAAAACAGATAAAATGATAATTTAACCTTTAATCATCTTTATAACCACCTTGAGCATACAATGTCAAAACGGCTTGGATTTGAATAAATACACCGGCAAAATTGTACTTCTCAAACATTGTCTCAACCTGCAAGGTTGGATTCAGGGTCAGTAAACCATAATAACAATTCAAATATTTCCTAGTCTGAACATTTCGAACACTGTATTGATTAGATTAGCATGAAAAACTTATGAAGAAACAAATGAGAATAAAACCAGACAAACCATTTTCTCACGGTTCTTTGAAGGATTAAGAGGTGGGTCCGTGAGCAAAATCTTGCACTCGGTTGGATCTATCTGTTGATAGAACATGTTTAAAGACTTACAAATATGCACTAAAATTATAGCCCCAAAAAAATGAAAGAAAAGAGTACAAAATCCGCCCATGAATTCAAGTGAAATGTGATGTTCAACCTTACATTCTCAGGGATTGAAAAAGAATCCCGTGAGATCGCGAGTCCCTTTAAAATGCCTCCTATCATCATATAATCAAGTGAAATTTCAAGTTTACCATTGCTAGTCTATTTTCTTCAAGACAACACTAACATTTTTAAAATTGCTGAGAATCTAAGGTCGAACATTCATTCCACTTTAACTCCGAGAAAAAAATCTGAAATTTTCCGAAAAGATTAAAAAAGAAAAGTGATTATAGAGAGTTACTTTGAGTTCATTGAAAAAGGCATGGTCCCAAACATGACCCATATCATCCCAGTTTTGCACGATACCGTTGTTAACAGGGTAAGAGATATCCAGCTGATGTCTGAATTCCGCGCAAGCTTCTCCAACTACAGTATCCTAAATCACACAGAAACAAACCTTAAGATCAATCAAAAATCCAAAATTCCTCAATGGCAATGCAAAATTCAACAAATGAAATTCATAAATGAGCAAACTTTTAATCAATCACCAACCTTGAGCTCTTGTTCGATGAGTGATTCCTCGTAGCGAAGCAAGGGCCTTCCCACCACGCACGGAAACACCGACGTCGGAAAATTCTCGCCGGCAAACCCACATTTCACATACTGCAAGTAAATTAAACTGAAAAATATGAGAAAAAATGCTTATTTTTTCGAGGATTTGTGTAGAAACTTCTGACGAAGATCTAAAAAGTGATGAAAATAAAAGGAATTGCTGACAAATTTGTAGAAGAGGAAGAATGGGATCGGGAAGAAGAATGAGAGATTAAATTGGGAGTACCCCGGTGCCATTGTCGCAGACGACGACGTTTCGGTTGTCCATACTGAGCTTTTGTTTCTTCTTCTTCTTCTGGATTCTGTCCTCGATCAACAATGATGCCAGAGCATACGAATTCTCTTCAACCAGAAGAGCGTAAAAGTGCAGGAATGAATAATGACTTCTTACGACTTCTACCCTTTATGCTATTTCAATTTAACATTTTAGTCTTAAAGTTAAAAAACTTGACAATCGGATCCATCCTTTAGATTCTGATAGATCATACGACGCAATGAAATATTAATCTTTTTTTAAAAAAAGATAGATATATATATATATATATATATGCATTAAAGAAAAAAGATGCAATGAAACAATAATAATAATAAAAAGATGCAATAAAACAGAATTTAACTTACTTTACAAAGTAAGTAAATAAGCAATTTGTAAATTAAATTACTATATACTAATCTACGTTACCCTGGCTCTTTTTTTAGAATGTTAATTTTTTCTTCTTTTTTTCTTTGGAAGAAAAAAAAAGAGTATATGTTCAATAATCGAAGAAGAAAGGTTTAAAAAAGTATAACAAATAAATAAATAAACGCATCGACTTAACGACCTCACTTTTAATGTCGTTTAAGTAAAACACCGTTGGGCTAAATTGGGCAACTAGACCAACACTGGCCACATTTGACGGCCTGTTGTTGTTTAGGCCTAAGCAGGCTTAGCCCATAATGTGGAGCCCTAGCGTATGACAGTGACGCGGCAGCGAGTGCACTGCAACAACGCCGTATAACACGTATTCTTCTCGATATATAAGACGAATCTGCTGCCATTAGGTTTTTTCGTTCTGCCGCTGCACCTCCAAAGCACTGTATCTGTTGCAGAGATTGACGCAAAAATGGCGAGTCTTAAGTTTCCTCGTCTTCTTCCATTTTCTTCCTTACTTAGGGTTTCTCTTTCACCAGATAATTTCACTGGAAATTTCATGTTTTTTGACGTAATTTTCCTCTTCTGCGTTGCGTAATCTGCAGGCTCCCAAAAAAAGCGTCAAAGCTCCACTCGTAGGGAAGAAGAAGCCGGTAAAACTAAGAAAATTAGCTTCTTTGTTCTCGAATGTGCTCGATTTTTGCTCCATTTTGATTTCGAACTGTTCTTTTTGCTTTTTACTTGTGGTTCTTAGGAGAAAGTTGTGAACCCGCTATTTGAGAAGCGGCCGAAGCAGTTCGGCATCGGAGGAGCATTGCCGCCGAAGAGAGATCTGACGAGGTTCGTGAAATGGCCCAAAACCGTACAAATTCAGAGGAAGAGAAGGATTCTCAAGCAGAGGCTCAAGGTTCCACCAGCTCTGAACCAGTTCACCAAGACACTCGACAAGAACCTCGGTATAATTTCCTCACTTTGTTCTTTTCTTCTCGTTATTGGATTGTGGAACACTGTTTAGTAATCCTCAGTAGTAAACTTATGAATCGTCCTAACGAACTTTTTCTCATAATCCAGATATTTATTCTTATAGAAAGAGTTTCATTTAGAAATCCATTTTTGTGAGAGTCTTAGTATATATAGTAAATTCGCTGAATTGCCTTAGGACGATTTTTTTAATAAGCCCGAGGTTATTCTTACAGTAAAGCTTTATTTAGAAGTACATTTTGGTGACAGTTAAATCATATGCATAGATGCAGTTTGTCTTAGCCTAATTTTTCCCGCAAACCAGAGTTCTTCTTAGAAAAGATGTCATATAGGACTAGCTTCGATTGTGCAGCATTTTTAGTAGGGATTTATTTCATCGATTGTTGTGGGATATGTTTGCAGACTATTTTGTTAAGATTGATTATTGTGAACATTTTTTACAAAATTGTTTGCTTATATGTTCTTACATATGTCATAACCTTCCTTTTGAACACATGAGCAGCAACCAGCCTGTTTAAGATGCTTCTCAAGTACAGACCCGAGGACAAAGCCGAGAAGAAAGAGCGTCTCCTCAAGAGAGCTCAGGCTGAAGCTGAGGGTAAGACTGCTGAAGCTAAGAAGCCTATTGTGGTGAAATATGGTCTCAACCATGTGACCTACCTCATTGAGCAGGTTTGTTGTGTTTTGCGCTTTAGTTTTGTAAGGCTTATTCCTCTAACTTAAATTCTTTTTGCTAGTAGAGATCTTTCCAAATTAAAGACTTGTGAAATGTGTTTTCCTTGCAGAACAAGGCCCAGCTGGTCATTATTGCTCATGATGTTGACCCGATAGAGTTGGTTGTTTGGCTTCCGGCATTGTGCAGGAAGATGGAAATTCCATACTGCATCGTGAAGGGAAAGTCACGCCTGGGATCGGTAATTATACTTGTGTACCAATCCTGTATTTTAAATTGCTTTCCTACTGAACCAGATTGGTAAACTGACTGCCATGTTAATTTACCTTTACCTCTCTCCAGATCGTCCATAAGAAAACTGCTTCAGTCCTTTGCTTGACAACAGTCAAGAACGAGGATAAATTGGAGTTCAGCAAGATCTTAGAGGCTATCAAGGTAACAGAAGTTTAACTTTTTTTATGGATAGAGCTTTTTTTGGAGTTCAGCAAGATCTCTGTTTCTTTTGGAGGTTTTATTCTATAGCTTTATCTAATTTGATACGTGTCTGCTATTTCAGGCCAACTTCAACGACAAATACGATGAATACCGCAAGAAGTGGGGCGGTGGCATCATGGGTTCCAAGTCCCAGGCAAAAACCAGGGCAAAAGAGAAGCTCCTTGCTAAAGAAGCTGCTCAAAGGATGTCATAAATTTTACCTATTTATTAATATCCCTCCGGTGTTTGAACTTGAAAGTTTTGTTGCAGATTCTCTTTTTTTTTTTTTTTAAAGAAAAAGAACAGAGTTAGTTATTTTGAGTGAGACTCGTAAGACGAATATTCATTTCAATTTTACAATTTTGAATCTTTTGTTATCGATACATGATTCATCAAGCATCCATGATCTCGTGTTACTACTCAGTTGCTCATTTTATGAGAAGCAGACGTCGGTAGAAATACGCCTATTGCACTATCGAGGTTGTGTATTTTATTTTATGTTTCCCCCCTTCCGGTAGGATGCTTTACAATAACCATTACATTAGAATCTGACTGTAGAAACAAATGACCAAATCAAACTAAAACCTCTCGCACCATATCACAAGACTATCATCAAAAAGAAAGAAAAAGAAAAATGACCAAATCTGACATAATGTTACATGCCCATAACTAATATGTTACACGCTTATCACACAGGAGAAGGAGAAAATTATGTTCTCTAATTTTCTATTGTCTCTTATTTATAAAATATTAGGAGGACCCATTTACTTTAACTTGTAGACAAAGCAATAGACAATTGGTTATTACTTTATTTTAAATCTCATTTAAAATATAGTTTCTTATTTAATTTTGGAAACAAAAAACTCTCCACTTCATTATCTATTATGGCCGGCCATACCACAGGGATTTCTCCCTGTGGTTGGCGCAAAATACGGGCAGGAGAAGGAGAACAGATTCTTCATTTATCTAGTTTCTAATTTTAGCTCAAATTCAAATATAAATAGAGTCAAACTCTAATTTTGAAAATGATTGGAAAACTTGTCAAACAAGTAAACCAGATAACTTAGAGATGAAGTAACTAAATCTCAGTAGGATTCTCCATGTGTCACATGCCCCCTGCACCCAGTGATTGGGCGTGTGGCTTATGTGGTCCCACCACATTTTTCTTTCTAAAATTAAATTAAATAATCACATTATTTAATATATAATTATTCTTAATTAATTATTTTTTAGTGATATAATTTAGAATTCCACAATTCTATTGTTTTACCCTTAGTGTCTCGTAGAATTAACAAGACGACGCAGAGACTTGTGGACTCATAATATCAACATCTAATAAAATTAATAATTAATTAAACTTTTTAATTAATTAATTAATTCTATTAATTCTAAAAATTATTCCACGAGTCGTGGAAGGCAACTGTCGGTGTTGGATTTGGTAAGCTCAAATCTTTAGTCAGGCATTAGCTTGTAGTTGAGCCTAATTAGGAACGAGAGGATTGAAGCTGGGTGAATCCATGAAAGTTTCACATATCGAGTGAAAGCCCTATCAACTGACCGAATTGAGTCGACTTAAGCACAGTGATGCAACCTGCACAATCAAACAACCAGGAGACTAATCGAGCCTTGTCAGTCCACTCCCCTATAAAAGTTCAGCATTCTGAAAAATGAGGTTGATAATTGCCCGCATTGTGTTCAATTTAGAAAGAGAACGTGAGGGACGTGTCAACACTTGGCAAAATACATGGCTTCACTTACCTAGAGTCCCATGATGCAAACCCACAAAGCGTAGGGAGGTTATGGAGAGCATCTATAAATAGAGAGGGGGACCATTGAAGAAAAGGGATGATCACAACATTCAAGACAAAAGAACAACTTTAGTCATTAGAGTGCTTTGTGAGAGTTCAAGGGAGAGACTTGTAATCTTGTACTTGGTTTGTTCAGATAGTGAAGAAGATACAACAATAGACGTAACTCACCTTGGAGTGAACCACTATAAATCATGGTTTCTTTATTTATCTTTGCACAATTTTATTGTTTATAATTTGTCGTTTATTTATTCGTTGCGAAGAGATCAACATAGTGTATTTATATGCTCAAAATAGTCAACAAGTGAATGAGAAATTAACTCTCAAAGTTCTCCCGTAAAAGGAAAAACTTCTAAAGAGTTAAGGAGTCTCTCATCCCACATCAGAAAGAAGCAAAATCATGGTCTTCTTTAAGCCCTATAAAAGGGAGCCCGCACTCCTTATTTGAAATAAAAAAGTCATATTCTTTTCTCAGAAATCCTTCCTCTCTCTAGTGTATTTAGGGTATTCAATAAATAACATTTTAAAAAGGTAGCATCGTTGTGTACATAAGAGGCAGACGCCTATCAATTTTTAGTACATAGTTTCTATAAAAAGCCAAGCTTGGCGCGACTTTGTAACAAATAATCATCTTGAACCTGGTGATGAACTTCAAATCACGATTCCTGATGAGCCAAACGAATAAGGCATCTTGAACCTGGCGACTTTGTAACAAATAATCATTTAGGCTTGGAGTTGGTGAATTTGTAAGTGTGATTTTGAGTAATTATCTCCTAAGCGATATTTTCTCAAATTTAAAATTCTCAGTTGTAGATAAGTTCGTCTAATATTTTTAAGAATTTTGTAATATCGTCAATCTTATTATTTGGATTCAGACTGTATTCGCTTAAAAATCCAACTGATATGTTTAAGAATTTCATGGTATCGTCAATCTTTTTTTTTGGATTCAGATTGTATTCACTTAAAAAGCCCTCTATGATATTTTTAGACATTTCGTAATGTCGTTAATCTTTCATCTCGAATTCAGTCTGTATTATTTATGTGCATAGCGTAGTTTTATTACTATTTTTGAGTTTATTATTTAGAACCTCTTCGCCGCCAACGATGAAGGTCTGTCAAGCTCTACGACCTCGCACTGAACACTCCTGCCAGATCCGATTCTCGGTGTTGGGATTGCCTTTTTTGTTGTTGTTGTTCTTGTAGCATAAGTGGTTGATTGGATCAAGAATTAAGGAAGAGAAAAAGGCATTGTAGGGGGAAACCATGAAAGTTCAAGTGGAGTCTTCATCTATGGTGGCGATGAGGACCAAGTCATGGAGGTTGGGGCATGTTCAGTCCGGCAAGCATCACAGATTGTAATGTGAAGAGAGTTGAGTAGCCATAGAAGGAGGAGGACAAGGAGCTTGCCAGAGGTGGTGGTGTCGGCCAGTGATAAAAGATCTTTTTTTCCCTTTTATCGGGTTTTCTTTTCTAAAGTAAACCTTTTATCGAGTTTCCTTTTCTAAAATAAATGTTATAATTGGTATTGAATAGCACGTGATAGGTGGTCTTTTTTTTTTTTTTTTTTGGCTTGGTGCTCCATCATCTTTTCCCACCATTAGATTCAAACTAGTGCGTTACCTGTGCTATTGCACGAATGTTTGTTTATTTATTTTATGATAAGATTGAAGTAAGCAAAACTCAAATAAATTGCAAGTCTTTGAAAAAAAAAATTTTAATCATGCAACATAACCGAATGCACAAAAACACGAAAGGAAAAGAGAACAAATTTTGAGAAAACAAAAAACTTCATAGATTAACCTAGATCAGCTCCACAACACAACGCAAGAAGGTAAAAGGGGGAAAAAAAAAAAAAGAAAAAAAAAAAGGGCATAAGAACAAACCAGAAGAAGAGTAAATGAAAAAAAAAAAAAAAGAAACCCTAAAAAACAAACACAAGAAAAACAAAAATATGAAGAGAAAAGGGGGAAAACGAAATCAAAACATAAAATGCACAGTGAAAAAAACCCAAAACGTCAAAGATTCGGCCAGATTAACTCCAAAAGACACCGCAAGAAGAGAAGAGAAAAAAACAGCAGAAGACCGAAATACAGAAGAAAAGTTACAAAGAGCGGAGCGAGAAAAGAAGAGGAAAAGTGGCATGAAACGAAACCCTAAAAACAAAACGCATGAGGAACAAAAACATGAAGAAAAGAAACATAAAAAGCGGAAGCAAAGCAGAAAACAAAAGGTGGAAAAACCAAAAACCTCGAAGATTAAGCCAGATTAACTCCACAACATACCGAAAGAACGAATTTTTCAAAAAAAAAAACAGAGGAAAAAAACCGACAAAAGAAGCTTAAAACCCACAGGAAATAAAATCCAAAAGAGAAGAAGAACATCAACAAAAATATCCAACAGCCAAACCGACATCAACGCAGGAGAGAAGAGAAAAACCGCGAGATAAGAAAAAAAAAAAACAGACAGCGGAACGAGTGAGAGAAGAGGAAGAAGAAAGAGCTACAGTAGCCGAGTGTAAACCACAGCACGGGAAAAAGAGAAAGACGTGTAGACGGATGGAGAACACAACACGGGAGAAGCAAGAAAAAAAATGGAAAAGCACGTGTCTGAGAGAGAATAAAAGTAAAAAACTCAACGGCAAAAAAGGAAATTCAATATTCAAAGAACAATAAACTTCGACCTTCTATAATAGTATTGTATAATATGAGGATGTAAAATGTTCACCTTACCTACCATAGATTTTCCCAGTCTTTAATAGACATTGAAGCAGTTATGATTCTGGCTATACAGCAAGACAAGTAATATCAAGATTAGGGGGGGAAGAAAAGAGAGATGGACAGAAAAGATGGCATTTACCCTTTACGTGTTAGAAATTTTTGCTACATATGAGAAGTTAAAGCGGATTAAAAAATAAAAAAAAAAATTGATAGAAAGTAGTATTGGGAAATAGAAATTTTTAATACAGATTCTTTATGTAAGAGTTTTATGAAGTTAACTACGACCAAAATAATTGGATTTTTTTTTTTTTTGAAAGAAAAAAAAAATAGATAAAATAGAACTTTCAATATTTTGAGGTACAAATGTAACTTTTGCTAGAAAGAGGTGTGAAGGTACTTGGTCAAGGGTTTTTGATAAATGAACCTTGAAACGATTAACTATTGACTAATAATAAAGGCGGGCCTTGATTTAAGGGGGACCTTAGGCAGTTGCCTTAATGGCCTAATTATCCTTCACTGGCCATTGTCTTTTCCATAACCTCCCTCCCTCCCTCTCTCTCTCTCTCTCTCTCTCTCACCAAAGGCAAAGGCAAAGACAGGCAAAGTCATGGGTTCGAACGTGATGGAACCAGAAGACATAGCAACATACGCCAACGACCGATGGAAAGATTTGGAGAATTTGACGACCATTTGCATGTCGTTTGGAAAGGTGCATGGCCAGGGATTATTCCTATCAAATCCTCTTGACTCCATACTCCCTCTTCTCCTCATGCAATTCTCCCTCGCTTCTCTCTCTATCCTCTTCACCTTTCTCCTCCTCAAGCCTCTCCACCAATCCATCTTTGTGGCACAAACTCTAGTAAGTCCTATAACAAACAATAATTATGAAAACAAAAAAAACAAAAAAACCCCCCATCTCTCATAATTACTCAAAAAAAGTTAATATAAATTTTGATGTTTCATTTGGTTGTGAATTTGCTAGGGTGGTATAATACTAGGTCCATCGCTTCTAGGCCGGAGTAAAACATTCACCGCAAAGGCCTTCCCCCTAAGAGGCTTCATACTCCTCGATCTCCTCTCCGCTATCGGATTCACGTTCTATTTCTTCCTTGTCGGAGTGCGATTGGATCCCCAGATTCTTAACAAAATCAAGAGGAAGACGTTTGCCATTGGAACTGTCACGGTGGTGGTGCCAATAATACTAACCGAGTTCTTCACTTTTGTCATGCTCACCATGGTGAACATAGACATAGAGCCTTTCGTGGCAACGTTCCTGCCTGTACTAGCGCAAGCTCAATGTGTGTTAGGCTCTCCAACCATCGCCGTCCTCCTCACCGAGCTGAAGATCATCAACTCCGAGTTCGGCAGGGTGGCGATGTGCTCATCAACAGTTAGTAGCCTCCTCAGCCTCATCATAACAACATCCATGGTTCTGGCGGGCCAGTCGCAGCACGACAAGTATCTACTCACGACACTTATTGCAGGATCCATATATACAATCTTTATAATTTTCATCATCCGTCCTGGAGTTATCTGGATGTTAAGGAGGAACCCAATAGGAGCTCCAATGAAGCAAAGCCACTTCATTATTTTGCTTGTGGTGGTATTATTGACGGGGTTTTGTAGCCAGGCCTCGGGTTTGCACCTCTACTATGGGCCTGTCATCCTTGGGCTAACTATACCATCGGGGCCACCGATAGGGTCTGCGCTGGTGGAGAAGCTTGAATTCATCACCTACTGGATGTTTATGCCATTCTTCTTCGTCAAGAATGGCTTGGTGATTGATGTCTTTAACATTTCGCTCAAGAACTATATGATCTTGCAATCCCTTGGTCTTATCGCCGCAGTAGGGAAGTTTGTAGGAGCCTTTGTCTGCTCTCTCTACTACAAAATTCCAAAGGTGGATGCTCTCGCACTTGGCCTCCTCATGACCACACAAGGCCTACTTGAGATCGGCTTGTTTAAGATGATGAAGAAAAATAAAGTATGCTTCAGAATTCAGATCCTTATGTTTGTTGTCGCGAAAAGGACTACGATTCCATATGTCATCACCTGTTTACTCATGTATCTGAATGCAATTAATGATTAAAAAGGTTAAATACAAAGAAAATGAGTATATGATACAACCATTTTGTAATTAACCCTTAGTAAAATCATCAATTATCCAAAGCATAACCTTCTTACGATTGTTAAATCTTCTAAAGGCCCAATGTTTTGCAGGTGGTAAACACTGAATCATTTTCCATAACGTGCATATCCATGCTGATTATAACCGGCTGTGTCACGCCAATTATAAGAAGACTCTATGATCCTTCAAGGAGGTATGTTGTTTACAAGAGAAGAACTATGATAAATGCAAAACCAGATTCTGAACTCCAAGTACTAGTCTGCTTACATGACCAAGACAATGCTCCTCCAGCAATCAACCTACTAGAGGCCTTAAATCCAACTGTGGACAGCCCGCTCGAGGCCTGCGTCCTCCACCAAGTTAAGCTTGTTGGCCGTGCGAAACCCCTTCTCATCCCTCAGAAGCTTAGTGAAAAACCGTCTTCAAGTGGACCCTCGGAGGGCGTCTTCAATGCATTCAGATGGTATGAGCAAAGCAACCTCGACATTGTCTCGGTTTCTGCCTACATTGGAGTATCCCCTTACACCCTAATGCACGATGATGTATACGTGCTAGCGCTCGAGAAGAGAACTTCCCTCGTGATCATCCCTTTCCACAACAGATTCAATGCCAATGACGCAAGTGAATCATCACAAAAGGCTGCTCTGAGGATCATGAACGAAAATGTGCTCAAGAAGGCACCTTGCTCGGTCGCAATTCTTGTTGATCGCGGGCTCTTGAGACCTTCGCGGACTACCTTGGGAAGTTGGTCTCCATACAGAGTTGGCGTTGTCTTTTTAGGGGGAGACGACGACAGGGAGGCGCTAGCAATAGGCATGCGAATGGCGGAACATCCGAACATAAGTTTGACATTGATTCGGCTTGTTGGGAATGGCAATGTTACGGGCAATGATATGGAGGAAAGGAGGCTTGACAACGAGTTCTTGAGTGAGTTTAGACAAGCCATGGCGAGCAACTACCGGGTGACCTACATAGAAGAAGTCGTAATGGATGGCTCAGGGACAGTTGCGGTGATTCGTTCCATGGAAAACGATTACCAACTAGTCTTGGTGGGAAGAAGCCATGACAGACGGTCGCCATTGTTATCAGGGCTCGGGGATTGCAGTGAGCGCTCGGAGTTGGGAGCAATTGGAGAGATTTTCGTTTCAGCAGATACAAATGGAAACGCCATGATTTTAGTGGTCCAACAACATAACAAATTAGAGAATGAAGGCAGTGGGAGCCGTAAACAAAGTCATGGAGACCCAAATTCCGTAAAGGATGATGAAGAAGAAATGCCAATTCAAGGAAGGTCAGCGTAATGTTGATTATCATCTGGTTAATCTGATCTTACTACAAATTCTTTCAAGAATTATGGCTTGAGACATAAAACTTCTTTTGTTGCATCAAGTAACTGAAGAATTGCCTCCGGTTTTGAGGAAGATGAAAGTGATGCTGAAAGTTCAGAAGATATGGCTTGAAGCATTGAGGGTGAAGTTTCTCGAACCGATTTGATGTGTTCAATAGCAGTTGGAACTTCTGAAGCATTGGCCAAAAATTTCAGTAAAATGACATGAAACTCTGAGTGTGCAAAGCCATAATTAAGGCGACGGAGAAACTCGGAAGCAGCAAGAAAAAGACCTGGACAGTTAGAACGCCAAAGACAGTGTTACTCCAATTGTAAAAATGCCACTAAAGAGGTTGTTATAACATTGTGAAAATTTGACATGTCTAACAAATTTGAATTAGAAAAGAACATGCCTTCTTTGCATAGATAGAGAATATAGGTATTCAACACTGTTCTTGCAAGCACTGAGTCTTGTTTAACACAAATGTTTAAGACATCAAAAGCAGCTTCATGCTTTGTCTCTTGACAAAGCCCTTGAAGCAGAGATGTGTAAGTTGTGGAATCAGGAGCCACCCCTTTTGCCAACATGTGGTCAAACAGCCTCTGAGCCTCTTCAACTAGACCTACTTCTGAGAATTTCCCAATAAGAATGTTGTAAGTCCTCAAATTTGGACTGCACCCAATTGTAAACATTTCATCCCACAGCTTCTTCGCAGGCCGTAATAAATCTTCCCTACAGCATGCTTCCATGAGAGAGTTATAAGATGCGACTTCCGGTCCCAACCCTTTCTTTCTCATCTCTTGAAGAACTCCATAGGCTTCTTTCACTTTAGCAGCTTTGCACAAGTATGACACCATCACAATATAACTCTCCTCGTCTTTGAAGTAGTTGTGGAAAGACAAAAGTTGGAAACTTTCCAACAATTCATCAATCTTGCCATGCTTGCAGAGACTCCTACTCAAATTGCTCAAAGTTAAAAGAGTTGGAAACCTTTCTTTCCCAACCATGAACTTGAAAAACATCAGCGCAGAATCGGGGTCAATGGCTGAAACTGATCCTATTAAAACATTGAGAACATCATCCTCAATCGGGAAATTCCCACTCACAATCACTTCACCCAATTCCCGCGCTTCGCATATTCGCCTCTCACGTATTAGAACCATGATGAACTCTCTATAATCATTACTCCTCGGAGCCACTCCTAGCTTTCTCTTCTTCTTCAAAACCATCTGTGTCTCAACTACACTCCCACTTGATCTAAACGCTTCAGAGACAATACTATACGCCATGAAATCCGGTTTACAGTTCCTATTTCTAAGCTCATCCAAAATGAGGAAAGCCTCAGAAGCTCTTGAATTCTTGCTAAGCCCATGAACGACCAAAACCGCTATTACCGACCCATTAACCTCAGAATCACAAGCTACAACCTCGTCCAACAAACTCAAAACGACACCCAATTCAGCGTTTTCGCATAACCTCCAAATAAACACGCCAAAACCAAGAGTTGTCAAAGGAACACCTCTCTGAGTCATTTCAACAAACACCTTATGTGCATAATCAATACACCCATCCGAAGCCAGAGCAGCCAAAAGAGAGTTACAAATCTCGGACCCAATATCCTGAACAAGAGAACCAATCTCGCTGAAAACCAAAAAAGCGTTTCTGGCTTTGTTCCCGGCGATAAGGGAAGCGATTATGGAGCTATAAGCAGAAGAATGAAGAGAAACTTTGTTGGCTTTGAGTTGCCTTAGAAGAGCATCAATGGCGTTGAATTGGCGGGAAAAGGAGAGGGATTTGAGGATGGATTGGTAGGAGATGGAGGAGTGAGAGAAGCCTGGTTGCTGAGAAGCCCAGTTGAAGAAGCCGAGAGCGAGAGAGTGGTGGGGGAGAAGGAACGAGTCGATGACTCGGGCGACGAGGGAAGGAGTGAGTGAGTCGCGGAAGGCGAGTCGGTGAAGAGTGAGTTCGAGAGAAGGGGTCCATGACCGAGTTGGCCTTGAGTGGTTGGAAGCGTTGATGAGAGCACGACTTATCCGAGTTGCTAACTCAGTTGCCGAACTCCCAGATTTCATTATTACAGGAAGACCGCAGAGGAAGGAAGCACGGTGGTGATGCAGGAGAAATTGCGTCGTTTATTAGGCTTTATATTAGTTGTCGTTTTTATTTTTCTTTGCTACCCTTTTGTTTTTCTCTATGTCGTTGATGGTCTGGTTATATATCAAGGGGAATTTGGTTAAAATAACCAAGTGAAAAATAAATTTAAGAAAATGACTTTTTAATTTTAATTTTATTTATTTCCAATATCAACACGAAATCTGGCAAGATTGGGGCTGAGCTCGGCGGCGGCGGCGCTGGTAGGTTGTTGCCAACGGGATTTGCAGTGAGAGACGGCGGAAGATGAGGATGGCATGTGGGACGAGGCCTTGGAATCAGGATGGGTGGATTCTCCGGCCATGGCCGGAGATTCAGAGCTAGGGTTTGGATTTCTATAAATATATATGTGTGTATATATATACGCATGAGAATTTAGCAGAGATTGTGCGGAATGGTGGAGGAGAGAGAGGATAGGAAGTGGTTTAGAAGATGATTTTATGTTCTGTTTGGGTGGAAGAGGAGAAATTTCCCGGGAAATGAAAATTTTCAGGGAAAGTTTATGGAGTGAGAGTGGAGAGGAGAGGAGAGAGATTGTCATATTTTAAAAAAAAAGTCACGGGAGTGAGAGTGGAGAGGAGAGGAGAGAGATTGTCATATTTTAAAAAAAAGTCACGTTGCAAATAAAATTTTTTGAAAAGTTATTTTACTAATAAAACTTTCCTATTGAGTTATTTTTACAAAGGTCTCTATATCAAGGCCACAAGCTTTGATTTTGTATTCAGCTTTTTTCATTCAAAAACAATAGAATATACGCAGAGTTTTCTCTTTTGTTCTCCCTCGTTGATTATTGTTTAGGTGGATTTAAAACCGTCAGTTTCATCATCCGTCCGAATTAAGCCGATAAATCTATCATCTAAAAGCTTCACATCACAAGAAAGAGAGAAGAAAATGACCAAAACACGCCTTCTTAAATCAATTTATGATTTAGTAAAATATTCTATTAATTTGAGAAAATAAACATCTTTATAAAATGTTACTGTACACTTTGTCAATTAACATGTCATGCTCCCAAGATTACTTGAATCACAAGAGACGTTTGGCTCATGGATTAGAACCATGTGATTAAAATTATTTTCGATTTACGTGAATTTTTTGTGAGAGAAAATACTGTAACGAACCACGAACCATGATTCAAATCAGGGAACGAATCCTCCAACCAAACAACCTCCAAATAATCACAATCATGTTTCAGCCTTTAGGATTTTCCTCGACTGTCATACGGAATATATGTGGCGTATCGTAAAGCTATTTGTGTAATGTAATTGTGGAATCTTATTTCAGCATTAAGAGTAGTTCACTCTATTTCTGGATTGGCTGAAACTGTGTTGTGAAAGTTTCATAATAATATATTTCTCTTATAAATACCAAGAGCATTGTCCGCTCAAGCATAATGATGGTGTGTTCTATTTTTTTGTAAAGAGAAATTGTAAAATGACCTCATTGTTACTGAAAACACGCCTATAAACAACATGTTGGCAGTTCCACTAAAGACTTACTTATTATGTGTTTTAAAAACACGGATCCCACTCAGGACTGTAAGGAGCTTGTAGTTGTATTGAGTTAGTGGGAGTTTACTGTCATTTGTGTGTGATATGTTGTTATTGATAAGGATTGCTTATGCTTTAAATAATACATGCATATTCATGGATCTGTCACTTTATGTGTGATGTTGTGTTGACACACTTTTTTAGTTGGTAAAGTGACAAGTTGAAAAGAGACATCTGGTTGTTAGTCTCTATCATTGTTTTCGATCCATATATTAAAGTTGTCGTCATGCTTTGATGAATCTCTAGCGCTAGATTATGTATAATGATTGTATCCTGTCGATACGTTATTATGCATGATTATTTTTGGCTTGTGTTTATTATGTGAGATTCTTAGTTGATACTTATGCTATGATGAGTAAATGTTTGTTGTATGATTATGTCGTCCAAGTGAGAGACTGTTAGAATATTTTTATGTGGACTTTCATAATCATAATAATTTACTCTGTAATTAATTAAAGCATCTTATGGACAACTGTGTTAATATGAATTAACACATGCATGTATGTATAATATCAGTCCATAATGGGATGGACAATTTAATTTCTATATGCTTCAAAATCTAATATGACAATGTATTTTTGGGTTCAATATTTTGATCTCATTTATGAGTATTGAAAGCCCATTAGTTCCAACAAATGGTATCAAAGCAAGTTGTCACCGACATAAAAATAGAAACATGCAACTGCTCTCACTGACGTTACACATGTAGTTATCAACAACGTTCTCCATAAAACTAATTTTAGTGACCATCTCATCTTAAAATTGAGACGCTAATGTCTCAGTATTATCCATACACTCCCCCTCATCATAGAGTTTCTCAACACATTAGTGGATGGCCTTCTGCAACGGGTGAACCATTTTCTTTCCTTCTTGTTCCAATGCAATTAAAAAGAACTTTTCTGATTGGTATGGCTAAAGTAAAATCTCAGTCTATGCCTGTTTTCTCAAAGTATATGGCAAACAAGAAAGGAGAAGACAACAAATTATCTAGTTATATACATAAAATTTTTCATTGAGCTTAAGTATCTGTACAAATCTTGTGTCTTTTGTACAACCCATGTTATGTATGTACACACTATACAAGTATGCTTACAGCCTTCAGTCTTCAGATGTACAAACCCAAACCAGTAGCTTTTACCTTTTTACAGTAGTGGTTTTTGGGTTTCTTCTATATATACAGTATTAGCATAAAAACACTCTAAACCTCAGATTAGAGTTTTGGGAGTACCTATACAGCATGTCTTAGTCCCCACATTTTTACTTTAGCAAGGGAAGTTCTAATATCAAATATCCAAGACTTTACAGGAAGATATCAAGAGTAGGATCTGATCAGCTTGAAGTTCTGGAGAGTCCGAGCTCGAAAAAAGTTGCCGAACAGAAATCCTATTGTTGTCTCTTGACGCGGCTTTGGTGATAGACTTGTGTCATATTTCACCTGCAGCGAACCAGGGCCAACTTGTCTGCGAATCGAATCAATAATCTTGGGGTCAACGGGGTTCCCCGCCACGTCTGTCACATGGAAAATGTCTTTCACTTTCCGGTCCTTTGTCGAGATCTCTGCTCTCTTGATGCACAAGCTGTTCTCCCGGAATATCCTCGTGATATCGGAGAGGAGACCAGCTCGGTCATCTGTGCACAATTGTAGTTCTATGCCCTGCATAACAAAAGCAACACATGTTTTGGTATGATTTCCACGCAAAGTATGTTATATGGTAAGGCTGTGTTTGGTAAGAGGGAAAAGGAAAAAGGATGGATAGCTGAGGAAAATGAGAAAGGGGAGGACCTTTCCCTAACTGTGTTTGAAAGGATCAAAGTTGGAGTACCGTGAAGAATCTTTTGAATCCCTCACTCAATGCCTATCCTCCTCTAATCCTTCATACCAAACAACCATCAATATCCCTAATTCCACTTTTCCTCTGTCAAACAAGGCCAAAAAAAAATTTATGTACCTCATTTGCTCGTCTTTCAATGGCGGCTTCGAGACACTGTGTGACACGTTCTCGCTCTGCTTCTGAGCTTATAGGTAGCCCATCGACATGTCGAATATAAAATTCCTACAGCAAAGAATTTCAGAGTCAGAGAAACGACAAGATCACTTCTAACCAAGAAAACCAGAGTTCCCAAAATTGAACAAAACTAGTTTAGTTTCAAATACTAATCAGCTTTTACTGACTACAATTATTGTCTTTATCAAAAAAACCTCACTATCCTTATTATGATACATTCACCAATTCAAGTCATCACGGTCAAGTTTAAAGATGTGAGCCCACCTGATAAGCTTCTGTCCTCCCAGTTGTGACCATTCCATGAAAAACTACGTACTCCATGTCCGTTAAAGTGCAAATTATGTCGAACAACAGCTTAGGGCGATCCTTCGCTCTCATAGTAATCATGGTGTAATCCTTCTGAATGCAATTGAACACAGCTACACGAGGCCTTGAGCCCTTATCCTCAATTCTCCCTGGATCCACCCTCTCAACTCTCTCATAATCCCTATCAGCAAACATTATCTGATGCAACCGTCTATCCCTATTTGTAACCCCCGGCGGTGAGAGTGTCATCTTTGCCTCCTTGCGGTCATTGTTCCCTTTGAGGACATTGCAAAGCAGTTCCTTAATCGTTGAGAGGCGTCTAGGGTCCTTGATTGCACACCCGGTAGAATCATCTGTGACGTGCACTACTGCTGCAGCTCTAGCATTGTGCGTCCATATCTCGGCGTTCACCACATTACAACGAAGATCTGCTAGAACTGCACATACTTCAGACAGTAAACCTGGCCTGTCAGTGCCGGAGAGCTCGATCCAGGTGTGCTCTTCCGCGGGCATCACACCAACAGACTCTCTCACCGTGGGTACAAATCCGTCATTGCTTTCAAGTCTCTGCAAAAATTAGAATTAAAATTAGAAAGGGATATAAGCATGATCAACATTCTGGTTCAAAAAGGGCTCAATGACATGAAGTTGTAGTTTTAGGGTTCATTTGGGGAGTAGTTTAAGAATTTCATGCGCTTACCACTTGAATATAATTCAACACTTCCTTGTCTCTAATTTTTTTCCCATCATGGTCAACCACGTTGAAGACTGAAACCGAAAATTCAGAAGAAAAGCTTACAGAAAAATCACAAGAGAAAGGAATAGTAAGGAAAGAGGACAATCAGAAACAATATGGAGGCTTTTACTATTGTTTCCTATTAAAGAAGTAGGTTTACCATCCATAAACCATCCTCCATCACACGAAATATACGCTTTTACTATCGTAAGGTTCACATCCGCGAGCACTTGGACAACTTCCAAGAGTGTTCCGTGCTTGTTGACACTATCAACCTAAAACATAATAAATAAATTAAAAAAAAAAAAAACCAATTCATAAATCATAAATTTATAAAAGATAAGAGCAGAATTAAGCCTTAAAGAAACGGGGTTGACTCAATAAATAATTATCTGTATAGTATTTATCAAAATTCCTAAGAAACAATAATATATGGTTTTGTTTACGTAGTTGATATGATAGAATTAGTCAAAGACAACTGATAACAGCAGTTTAACTGACAAATAAGAATTATCATAATCTGAGCTAGGTTTGGAAACTCATAACCAAATCACATAGAAGGCACAAGATTAACCTTAATAACAGTAGCATCCTCGCAAACATCGTTGTCAATCACAACTCTGCAAGAACAGAAGGTAAGTCAGAATCAGATTAAGCAACAACAACTTTCTTTCCTTCCAAACAAACACCAAGAAAGAAAGTTCGAAAGAAAGTTCTATGTTCTGCAGACACTTAAAATAAAAAACCTAGGCATGGTAAAGTAAAGCAATTGAGAAAAATGGCTTAAAAAAGAAAAGATACTTGGAGGGCTTAAAAAATTAGTGGATGCAAAAATTAGCGGTTGTATAATCAAAAGAAAACAAAAAGTTTAATCCCTAATTAAACAATTACAGGAAAACTTGGAAATTAAAAAAAAAATCAAGAAAAAACATTTTCTGTTCTGTAGTTCCTCAGAAATGAAAGCCAATCTTGATACAATTATATTCAAAACAAAGTTTTTTTTTTCTTTTCTAAATGTAACGAACATAAAAGATATGAGTAACATTTTTCACCCGTTCTGTGATTATCAACAATCAAAGAAAAGAAAAAAGATAAAAGATAAAGAACAGTACCAGAAAGAAAGTTTGGAAAAGAAATAAAATTTAAACAGGAACTAAAGTGAAATTCTTGGTTTTGAAATAATAATTTAAAGGAAAACTTGAGAAAGAAGCAAAACAAAGCAAAAGAAGAGACCCTTTAAAACAACGTGAATTTCAAATTCAACACACACATTAAACACCTGCAAACAAAAATATTAACCAAAACCCAGAAACCCAAAAAGAAGATAATTTAGAAAACGAGAAAACATTAAAAGAAAAAATACCTTGGTGGGTTCATCCTCCTGATGAGCTTAGCATATTCATCATCCATAATTTGTTTTTCTTCTTCACAATTCAACTTGAAAAATCTGAGTACCCAAGAGAGAGAGAGAGAGAGAATTTAAACAACGAACGAACTGTACAAACAAAAAAACCTGGTCGAAAGTGTTGTTATTATTGAAGGATGCTTCCTCCAATATCCAAGGAAAAAACAGACAAGAGATAGAGATAGGACAGAAAATAGAGAAATAAAAGTAAGAATGAAAGAAAAAGATTCAAAAATTTAATTATATTTAAAGGAAAAAAAAAAAAAAGAGAGTGGTGGTAGGACCTAAAAACCGTTTTAATAAGAACGCTACCCAACTCGGGTTCACGTGAACCGGCCCCTTATTGGTGACGTGGAAGGCTGCGGTCAGGCTGTGGGTGCGGATTCCGAGGAGTGATGCGTCACAGCCAGTGAGATTTAATTTGGCGGGGTTTGACCTTTTTCATTTACGGTCACAGACAGAGAGAGAAAGTCGCAACATAAAAGGAGGGGAAAGGAAAGGAGGGAAATCCGTACGAAGAGGGCGCGGTTCCCAAAGATCACATGACGTTGCGGATGGTGACGTGGCAGTGCCCGTGTTGGGTTCATTTTGGTCGGATATCTGCCGGGATTTTTGGCGGCAATTGCAGCGTAAGCCACTGCCTTCTTCCCTCGTTAAACTCCTCCCTTTTTTTTTTTTACTAAAAATAATATTTTTCCTCTTATTAATTTGGGAGATTCTTTTGACGTATGAGTACGGTCATGTTTTATTAACGGTTAGGTTTATATATTTTTTTAATTTTTACGTTATTTTATATATATTTTACGGAATAAAATTTGATTTATTAATATATTAACATATCAAAAAAAATTCTTATTAATTTTAATTGTTCTTTCCAATTAGTATTATTAGTGTCTTTTAGACTTATTTATCTTAATTCAACCTGTATTGAATTTTTTAAATATCTTTATTTTTTTCATAAATAAGTCACATTTTTGAGTTAAGGTGACTTAAAATATAATTTTAAGTTGAGTTTGAGTTATAACTTGAGTTGAAGTTATAACTTTAGGCCCCGTTCACTTCGCTGATTCGAGTTTAGAATTCGAGTTAAGATGTGACTTTATGTGAGAGCTTTTTACTGTAGCAAAAAAGTTAGATGTGATTGTTTGTGAGAGCTTTTTACTGTATAAAAACTCAAATTCTAAACTCGAATCAGCGAAGTGAACGGGCCGTTTAGATGTGCATATTTGAGTTATGATTTGAATTGAGAATCTTTTTTTGAATTTGTGTTTTGGTGGATAAAAACTTAAATTTGTATTTATATATATAATATTTTAATAAAAACTCAATAGTAATAAAAAATTTTAATAGGGATATATGGTGAAATTTTATTCTTCTTTTCGTTGTGAATGCATAGAAAAAAAATCATCTCAATTAGAATTAAAATGAAAAAGTTATGGCATTTTTAAGAATAAAAAAAATATTGTTCATTAACTTAAGTTCGAGTTTATGAACTCGAGTTGAATGAGAAATTTGAACTCAAATTCAGCTCCAAACTCGAGTTTAAACTTGAGTTCAAACTCAAATTTTATAAAAAAACACGAACTTAAATAAAATTGTAACTCGAGTTCAAACTTTTTCTGAGTTTCATTGCAAAAGAACAACCTCTTTGTTTTTTTTCATAAATAAGTCACAATTTAAATTTTATTAAAAATTTAAATTAAACTTTTTTACTATAATATTTATCTCTCACATACTGTCACGCCCCTCCCCCCAAACGGGATGGGTGACGTGGAGCTCAATTAGGGGTTAATAAAGCATATTCCCAGACGAGCCCCACTTAACTCCATTAAAATATAACATAAATTACAGAATCCTGAGCCTCTGACAACACAGGGCTCCACCCCACAGGACATACAGTATCGTACATACATGCACATGTAAATAATCATTACAACAGACATCAACCACAGTCTAGTTAATCCAAATATTACATGAGTTTACAGAATTCTCGATTACGTACACTTTTATGTCAGAGGAAGAATACAATCCTCACTTGATCGATCCGTAGTAGCACAACTCAACTACTCTGTAGCAATTATCTAGCTACTGTGCACCGCTCCTAGAATCTCCTGTGAGGGGTTTAACACATTTAAAACATAAAACGTGAGCGAAAGGCCCAGTAGGATATAATTTGAAATGACTTAAAAGTAAATGAATATATAAATGAACGAGTAAATGAATAGATGAATAAGTGAATAAAATAAGATGTTCAATTTCAACAGACAGCCGGAACCTCACATCCCTTTTCTCAAAGGAAATATAACTGAAAATAACTGTATTACAGGCTTCAGCAAGTAATTAGTACAAAAAAAATAGGAAATAGGCAAAATTAGGACCGACAGATAAAGAAATCAAACTGCGTTACTTCAGTCCATTTCCAAGCAAAAGTGGGTCAGGGTCATGAAATGGAATTACGTTTTGTTTGATTGTATATAAAAACAAAAAGTGACACATTAAAAATAGTAACAGATATCCTAAAACTACACATATATCTTATCTGTTGGATTACAGTTATGGAAGATAACTACAAGAGTGACAAAGAAGCCATGAACGTGGAGTTTCCCACACTACAATATCTGGATGTACTTTCACATATACATTAGTCATATGGATCATACTATATTGACACTATTTAATTTTAGATTGTTCAATTTTTCATTTAAAAAAAAATTTAGGACTTGAAAAGAAAAGGGAAAAAAACTTTTTTTAGGGACAAAAATTTTCCTTATGATATTTGGAGATTGTAGAACTATACAAAAAAATATATTTCGATAACATTATATGGAAGTTTTTCTAATAAGTCTTTTTATTGGTAGAGTTTAATTTTTAAGTGTTAAATCTAATTAAAATCACATTAAATTTAAAAATTATACAAAATAAATAAATTTTACCGTTAAAAATAAAAAATCACTTATGTTTTATCTTTTATATTATAAAAAAAACTCCCACATTATATACAAAAATATTATTATAACGTGAAAACAACGTGACATCGCGTAAAATACAGCTTGACAGTTGACATGACATATTATGTCAGTTGAGATATTTTTTAACATAAAGATTAAAAATAATTGAGATAAAAATTAGAATCCTTAGCCTTATTCCATTTACATTGTGAACAATTATTCAACATCAAATGGCTACGTGGAGTAACCACATAACATCTTTTTATAGCTGAACGCTAAATCTTGCCACGTGGCTGCTACATTAAAGAAGCATAATCCAGCTGTTTCCTTTTTTGTGATCATATTGTAATAATCCCGATGAAAATCCGAACAGACAAAAAAGGAAAGTTCCGATCCTTAAAAATAAAATAAAAAAAGGTTCGAATTTTTTGGTGGGAAATAAAAGCAAGTAAAGGGCAACTTTTTGGGGAGATGATGAATCGATGATGATAATCGGAAGGGAGGAACTAGGAAAATACCCGCCCAAGTGGGGCCCATTAAGTGTATGGATACACGTATCATTTGCACACTTGTATAGTGGTGGGCCAGGGGTGAAAAAGTGTAGGCCCCACGCCGCAAAGTCCATGTCTATTGTTCTAGGCCGAACTAAGGGTGTATATGAGTTAGGCATAAGTGTGATATCTTTGGTTCACTTTTCGTTGGATATTTTATATTCTCAATTATGACTTTTCTTTAGATCGCACGCGTTATTTGGAGCAGATTATGATCCACTCAAAAATCAATTTGCATAAATGGTATTAAAAGTGCTGCTGATTTGGGATATGGAATGAGAATTGGAATCCAAGAGTTAATGGATTTATTGAAAGAATAATTGTAGGTGTGTACAAGTCGTCTTCTATTAATAACCACAACGGAGTTATATTCTACGTTTAATTTGATATTCAAAATAATATTTAACCAACTAAACTATACTGCCTTGTTTAAAATTTGAAATACTTCATAACCTGACTTTTTGTTTTTTTTTTGGGTTTTATCGATGAAGTCTATTGAATGACATATCACGTGATGTCGTGATTGGTTGGACACTATTTAAATGGTTAAAAATTAGATGAGAAATTTTAATCTAAGAGGACGTTTGGTTGGAGGATTCAAACCATGTGATTCGAATCATTTTTTATTTACGTGTATTTTTTGTGAGAGAAAATACTGTAACAAACCATGAATCATGATTTGAATCAGGAAACGAATCCCTCTACCAAACATCCTCTAAATAAAACTCTTTATACGTGGTGTTGTGGTATTAATCAATTATTGTCCTTCTCCTAGGCAATTAAATTGATTAATATTTTGATTTCATGAAGAACAATTATATTAATTATGCATTACATATCACTTTGGAGTTTTATCCGTACAGTGATGCATGAATAGATTTATCTTTTTTTTTTTGCTAATCAAAGAGGGATTTATCTTGACAAGATATTTTAAACAATGTACTTTTTATATGTACCTTTTCTAATTAGACGCATCATGTAAGTATTTTTGTTTTACTAGAAAAGATCATTCAAGCTTGATCAGCTATTTGGGTCAGACAGAATGTACTGCATATAAATCTATAGGTACATGTACATATTGAGTATTGACTAAGAGATAGGAAGTCTCCAATTAAAGTCACATTCTATAACGTTCCATCAATTGATGGAAAAAATAACAAAGACCACAAAACAAACAAGAAAATTCTAAAAGAAAAGGTTTTCTTTTGCAATTTGATTTAAGTTTTAACATTTGATTTACGAATGAGAATATTTTTGCACCGTGCAGTATATTATTGCTTATTATAAATATTCGTAGATCAGATTGATAAAATTCAACCAAACCATAAAGAACTTATTCTACTCATAAAGCAAAACATCATTGCTTAATTATTGAAATTGAGGAATTCTTTGTTGGGTAATTTTGTAATTAAAAAAAAAATCCAATGATAGTAGACTATTATTGTAGTGATAGATTTTCATTAAATATTTTTAAATTTATTTATTCTTCTTTATCCTGACACACATTCGTGTATGTATTTTTTATCCTCATTTACAATTATGAATATGGCGTTATAAACCTTCAAAAGCCTGTTTGGATATATATTTTACTAATCATCATTAGGTGTAGAGTGAAACGCATAAGGATAAATGTCAATTTAGCACAATAGTTTGTTACTATAAGGG